CTCCTCTTACCTGCCCCAGAATAGCAAAGGAGGGGGCCTGGGGTGGTCCACTGGCTAACACTGGGCACTCAGGTGTTTCCCCGGCATTGTGCAGAAGGCTTCATTTGCACAGTAACCGTATGAGCCAGTGCCATTATTGACTCCCATTTTCCAGATATGGGATCTAAGGCTCAGAGAGGTGAAGTCACTGCCCATGGTCACGCAGCTAGCCAAGGTGGATCTGACTTGAGACAGCTCAGCTCTCTGCACTACCCCGACAGCCTCTTTGTCCTCTGCTGTGAAATGGATGCCCATGGAGTCACATTTCCTGCCGCCCACTGCTCCAGGCCAGGGTGGTGCCCCTGCCCTATGCTCCTCTAGCCCCTCAAGTTTCAGACTGGATCCTTTCCAGTGCTCATGCTTGTGTCTCCAGCGAGCCAACATCCAGGCTTCCTGCCTCCCTCCTTCACACCAAGAGCTAGCTGCAGGTACACACCTGTAATCCAGCTGCTTGGGAGGCTGAGGCAGGAGGATTACAAGTTCTAGGCCAGTCTGGGCAGCTTAGCAAGACCCTGTTCAAAGTCAAAAGGCCTGGGGATGTAACTTGTTGGTAGAGCACTTGCTGAGTATGTGTGAGGTTCTGGGTTCCATCCCCAGCACTCTCCTCCCAGAAAACGAGCTAGCTCTCCATCCAGAAAGAAAGCAGGGCTCAAGGTGCAGGGACAAGCTGGGTGCTGCTCTGAGTTTCCACGGCAACAGCTTCCCTCATTACTGTCTCTGCCTGCTGCCTGAGACTGCTGAGGAGGGTGGCGAGGTGGGAGAGGGAGAGGGAGAGGTCCTCTTCTCTCCTTCCCGCATCTGTCCTGCGGGCCAGCAGTCAGGTGAAGCAGAAACCCTGCACCCAGCCAACCTGCCAGACAGACTCCCCCTCTGCTTAGAGGCTGGGCCTTCCAGGCAGCATGGTAGCCTGGGCCAACAGCACCCCTCTCCCCAAATCCCAAAGCTGTGAGCTCCCTGCAGAGTTCTTGTTGTGTGGGTGGATGGATGGACCAGTGACCCATCCTACTCTCCAGTCGTGACTGTTCACTGCGTGTTCCCCAGATGCTGTGCTCAGTCTGGGTCATTGTCAATATGGTTCCCTCGCCACATGGTTCCCTCATTGTGTGGTCCTCACCCCTGCACTGTCACATCTCAGAGGTCACATCTTGGAGGTCATGCCATCAAATTCAAAACGTTTGCTCTTCAAAAGACAGCATCAAGAAAAAGAAAAGACAGGCAGCAGACTGGGAGAAACTGCAACATACACACACACACACACACACACACACACACACACACACACACACACATACACACACACACGGTAAAGGATGTGCACCTGAGCCTAAACTGAGGAAAGGGGCTTTGAGGGAGATGAAGCTTCCAGACAGGGGGTCCTGGGCCCCTAAGTCTCTGCCCTGCCTTTGTTCTTTCATAGCAGCCCTGTAGCTGAGTGGAGCCCCCAGTCCTGACTTGGCCTTCCCTGGAAATCTGATTCGGGTAGGAAAAGGCTCCTTGGCCCTTTAGACCTGCGGCTTCTCCCCGCACCTTCCATCACCACCTGCTGTGGTGCGGACTCCCCCTAGTGGGCACCAGCAGAACTGTAGCTTCCGGCCGTAACTGACCTCAGCCGCCTGCTCCACCCAACCTAGAAAGAACCGCCATCGCCTTTACTAGTACCGTACTGTGATGCTCTCTCTGGCAGCCTTCCTGCTCAGAGGCACTATGTTCAGTCAAATACATTAGGGAGTTAGCTCATCAGCGACCTGGGGTAGAGATAGTGAAACCCTAGGCAGCCTCCGGGGAACAATAAGGAAGCAAAAAAACAAACAAACAAAACAAACGGTGAGTTAAAAAGGTAGGTGTGAGACTCCCTGTTCCTGTTGGACACTAATCCCATGATAGGAATGTGGGCAGTTCTTGTATTCTTCCTTTTTCAGCACCAATCTCTTTAGACCCTCTTCCCCTATTTTTGTAAGTGATCCTAAGAGGCCCAGGCTCCCTGGCCACCTCTTATCACCCATTCTCTAATCCTTTTGTCTTCATTCCCTTCTCCATCCCCACTGCCCAACCCTCCCCAACTCCGGAGAGCAACGGTGCCATGTCCCTGGGACTCCACATGCCTTTCTCCGTGTACCACTGTTCCCGTGCCGCTTCCTGTGCTCCAGGCATTGTTTCATGTGCCTGCTTAGTCTTAGCTCCGTCACCCAGCCCTGGGAAGAGGGCATCAGTGGCTATCACCACCGATAGAGGAGTGGAGTGAGTCATGGAGATAAATTCCTTGCTCAAGGTCCCTGGGCCAGTGAGTTAGAGCTGGGATCCAGGGACTTGGAGCCCATAATGCATGGAAATGCCAGCTCTCGAGCCTGCCCCCTCTTGCTGGGAGCTGGAGTGGGAGACTCCCCCGGACCTGCCTTGCAGATGGGTCCTGTGTCTCCCCCAACACCCCTGGCCTTGGGCTGCAGAGACGTCTTTCTTTTTTATTGTTTGATTCCATTTAATTCAAGTGATTTAACACATTTATTTAAAGTTCAAAAACAGTAAAAATTAATCTCTGATGATAAAGAGCAGAGTAGTGTTTACTTTTGTACAGGGGTTTGAGTGAAGAAAGGGCATGAAGATTTCTGAACTGCTTCTTTAGAGTAGGGAGCTAGAGATGTCACTGTAAAATCTGACACCACGCTAGCATCAGTCATGATATACAGATGATCTGGTCTTATATCTGCCTTTCAGAATCCATGGAAGTGTGTAAAACATATATTTAGCCAGAACCCTGGCTGCAAAGGAGTCCAGAATATCTAGAGTTCTTCCTCTTTTTAGTTTTTACAGGTGACAGGCAAAAGTCAATGTTGCTCACAATAATAGATTCTGTACCTCTTGATGGGTGAACTGAAGTTTGAATAATAACCTTTGTTCTGGGAGGCAACCCTTCCAGTGGCTCTGGCTTTTTCAATGTTTGATGATCTTTGCTTTTCTGCTCTACTTCCTCCTTCAGACTCAAAAACTGTAACCGGCACTTGGAACATGGAAAGACTCTCTTCTTGCTCCAGTGAGAGCCAGCTTTCCTGCTCCTCTGTGCAACTTCCAGGCTCTTCTCCTTCCACCTGACCTCTGGCTTGGGCCAATGGGTGTCAGCCTAGGCATTCCGCTGCTCTTCTTTGCTGCTGTTCTCTACTGCTCCCTGGCCACTGGCTCCCACCCTGAGCCTCCTTTCTCCCCGCTGACCACCCTCCTTTAGCACTCTGGTCCTTTGCCTTAAAGAGACCTCGATGCTGGTGACTTTTGTCTCACATTTATGTCCTGGTCTCCCTCGTGAGCTAAACACTTCCTGTCCAGCTGCCCACTCTGCCTCTCCCTCATGTGTCCACCTGAGCCCCTGGCCACCCACCACCCCTCCCGTTTCCTCCCCGCTCTTCTCTCTCCCATCTGAGCACAGTAACTCTTCTTCCAGTCGCTTAGCTGACTCCTGTCATTCTTTCACATTCCCATCCAATCTGTTAGCGAATCTTGTGGGCACCATGTCAGGGTCCAGCCACTTCCTCCCCCTCCAGTGCTGCCAGCCCAACCCCACTGCATCCCCACAGCCCTCTTTGCTTCTCTCTGCTTGTTGGACCCTCCCCCAACCCCTCTAGTCTCAATCAAAGTGATCTCTTTTTTAAGACTTTTAATTTTATTAATACATGTTTGCAATACATGTAGTTTACATTCATTATAGGGAGTAGGTACATGCACTTAATGTGTCTTGATTCTTTTTATTCCCCTTCTGCTCCCCACCAATCCCTCCCTCTGTCTCTAGATCCCCTTTCCCAATTTTTATTATTATTGCAAAATGATCCTTTTAAGACCTGAATCATGTCATGCCCTCTGGCTCAAACCCTTCCCCATACCTTCCTTCTGCTGTGTAGCCTCAGGGCCTGTTCACTCCCCACCCTTGCCCACCACACTGGGCCACTGGCATCTGGGACTGTGTTTGTGCTGGGAGCAAGCTTTCTGTGCCTACAGGGTTTGCGCCTTCTCTCCTGCAAGTCCCTGGTCAGTGTCGCCTTCTTAGTGAGGGCTTTGTTGAGCTCTGCAGGTCTTCTCCCCACGTGCTGCTGCTCATTGGAGTCTCATGAGGGAGGGCTTTTTATTTGCCGTGTTCACCGATGTATCACCAGGATCTGTCTGGCACAAAGCAGCTGCTCACCATGTGTCTGAATGAGGGAATGAGCCTCCTTCAATGGGAGTGAAGAGACAAGGGGAATGCAAGGTCTGGAGCCAGTTAAAAGCTCCTGGGAGTTCAGAGCAACTTTGCAGATCCATTCAAGCAGCTCCCAGTTGCCTGCAGTTTTCACCCACTCTTCCCACTCTTATTCATGCCTGAAAAATGATGCCCATGACCATAGCTCTGCATTCGAGGCTTACCAGGGTGCCCAGCCTCAGAGAAGGCTCAGGTCCAAGGACAGGTGCTGGTCCACCTGGCTCCAGGGCCATTTACTGAGTCACTGCTCAGTGGCAGGCACTCTGCAACCTCCGGGACTCTTGCTTTGCCCAGAGTCAGGATCAGAGAATTGTAGAGCACAGCTGATCACCAGGGAGTCCCGTTGGCATGGGTGTTCTGTGAGCGAAGTGGTTCTGCCTTCCAATCTGAACTTTTCCGTTCTGGGGTGTGAGCCACCTTTGTGAGATTTGTTGATTTCTATACAAGAAAAGGAGAGCAATAGGAAGACCCATTTGGATGTGCATTTTGCAACTCTCTTTTTAGAAGGGATCAAATGGTATAAAATAAGAACTCTCCTAGGGAACCTGAGCTGTCTGTCCTCACAGACCCAGGTTTGAGGCAGCTGCTGTCACAGTGTCACCTTATGGGCTGGCCCTCCTGTCCTCACAAGACAGCTCCAAGCCTGGCTCTGGCCCCTAGGTCTGATGTGCCCCAGGCCCTACCTGGTAGATGCTCTCAGTGCTCATTCCCCAGCGCCTGAGCAGGCTTCTGTGTCTTGCAGAGTGTGGAGCAGTCCTCAAGTCTGACCTGGAGACCCCTCTGCCCACTAGGGAGGCTCCCAGGATGTCCGTCACACCGGAGGGGCTGAGCCCAGAGTCACAGATACTCAACATGACCGTGGATGAGTGCTTCCAGTCCCGGAACACCGTCCTCCAGGGACAGCCCTTCGGGGGCATCCCCACCGTGCTGTTCCTCAACATTGTCTTGTGGGTGGTGAGTGCTGGGTGCTGTGGGGATGCACGGTAAGGTCTCAGCCAGGGTGGGCTGCTGAGCTGTCACAAGAGACACGCTGGGGGCTGTGGTTATCCAAATGGACTCCCGCCACAGTGATGCAAATGACCTGAATGCCAGTCCTGCCCGGGGTGGCCCAGGTGGGTGGACCCGGGGCAGAAGGTGCTAGAGGAGCAGGCTGAATCCTTGAGGTTCTCTTCTTTGCACCAGTCCCCAAAGTCCATCTGGCCAGTACCCTTGGGATCCCTTCACTTTCCCCTGTTAGTGTTTCCCTGGGGCCTTCTTCTCATCGCTCTGAACAACACTGGCTCCCTCATTTGGCAAACTCTGAGCATCGCTGTGTGCCAGGAAGCTTCTGGGGCTGCGAGTACAGAGTTAAAGGGATTCTCCTTCCCTGACAGAGCTCACCGTTAGGTGGGGGAGCACCCTGGGGACTTCAGGGACCTCTCATAGAAAGCCAGGGGTGGCCCAGGGGAAGGCATTGGTGAACTCTGTAATCCATGTTGCTTTTTTGGCTTGCAGTTTGTCCTTTTGCTTTACTCCTTCCTCCGGAAAGCCGCGTGGGACTATGGGCGCCTGGCCCTGCTGATCCACAATGACAGGTGAGCAGGTCGGGGTTGGGTGGTGGAGCTGTGGCCAGGATGTGGCTGTGCGGTGCCCGAGCTGCAGCAAGGTGACATCCCGTCCCCCGTCACTGCCCCTGCTCTGCCTTCCCTGCAGGAAGGGCATTTGGGGGCAGCCATCTCTGGGTGTGAGACCACATTTTTCTCTGGTCTCAGAGACTGCACTCCAAAGATGCGCTGGGCACCAGGCAGCCGAGGTGATGCCATCTGTACTGAAAGCTTCATGTCCAGCAAAGGAGCTGTGGCTGCTGGGCAGTAGCCACCCCAGTCCTCAGCCCAGGGCATGGCAGGGGAGCAGCACAGGCATCTGAAGCACTCTCTCCTTTTCTGTCCCCTGCCACCCTTCCTGGCTGGCAGCTTGACCTCGCTGATCTATGGGGAGCAGAGCGAGAAGTCGTCTCCCTCGGAGATTTCCCTGGAGATGGAACGCAGGGACAAGGTGAGTGCTGGCAGTGCCTGGCACCCTGTGGGACCCTGGTCCTGGGCAGGCGATCGTGGTGGGCACAAGAAAGAACAAGGCTTGGGCAGAGGCTTGTCATCAGCCAGTCTCTGCTACTTCTGGCAGTGTGACCTCGGGCAAATTCCTCAGCCTCCCCAGGCACCGGTTCCCCATCTGAGTGGGGAGACATTAGCCGTATCTGCCTCCTAGGGTGCCAAGTGAGTCTTAGCTAGTTAGAATATCTTAGATTTTTTTAAATGAATTTTTCTCCTTTTCTCAAATCTCCAACCCTCCCAACAGTTCCCAGGCTGCCCTGCTCCCACCCCTCCCTTGGAGCCAAGGACTCACCTTCTGTTTCACCTGGAAGGTTCTGCCATCGGGCAGGGCTTCTTCACCCTCATGCCCTGCCCCACGGAGCACTGTGTTCTGCTCCCTTCACCTTCCTGTGAACTTCGGGTCCTCTACCCAGACTAGGCTGGAGCACCTGCGGCAGCCCTGGGAACTGAGGACGGGCACTAAGCACAGGGGACCAGGTCCTGCCTTGTGGCATGTTCTTCCCGGCTTACGGAGATGACCAGACAGATGCATTCAGGATGGGGATGAGTGTGTGAGGGAAAAGCAAATAGGGCAGGGAAGGCACTTGACGGTGTGCCGCATTATAGGTGGTGATCGGGATGGCCCTGGACAGCAGACAACACTCGAGTGGGGACTGGAATGCAATGACGGGAAGGGCCGAGAACATCCTGTGCCCCGTCACGGCCCACACTGCCCCCACCCCTCACAGCCGCCTGACGGTGGTCTGTGCTTGCCACTCACCTCCGCTCTCCAGCCTGCTCCAGTGCGGCGTTCACGCATCTCACTCCACGGCCACTGGTGTTCCCCTGCCACCAAAGCCAGTAGGCTTTCTTCAGCCTCGTCTTACCCATCTCTCAAACATGTCTGACCTCGACTGTCCTCCAGCAGGCGCTCCCCTTTGCTTTGTGACATTTTCTCCAGGTTTCTTTCTCCCGTCTCTGTCTGCTTTGCAGGCTCCTCTCCATGCCGAGTCCCTCTGCTGATCCCAGGCCTCTTCACTCTCACCGTCCACTGTCTCTTCCGGGCAGTGACACATTCACAACTTCATTTGCCATCGCTACGCTGCTACCTCCAACTAAGCCTGTCCCTGGGCTCCAGGCCCTCTGCCCAGTAGCCTTCAGAATCACTCCACATGGATATCACAAACGCATCTTGGAGTCACGATGTCCAGAACACTCTGCGGGACCTTCCACGCCCCTCTTCCCTAGGTCCCTGGTCTCGAGCCCTTCCCACTCACTGGCCACCCTTCTTGCTCCTGTGCCGGCCCCGGCGCGTGGCCCATTCAGTACCGAGCTGTGCTGCCTTTACCCTCCAGTTTTGTTTCTCTCCGTCCTGTCTCCCTGCCCCTTTCCTGGCCTCTATCAGTTTCTCGCTTTGGTGACGGAAGCAGCTCTAAGTCATCCCTATAGGGCCACACTTGCCCCTACCCCATCCACTTTCCACTGGCATCCAGAGCCATCCCATAAGTGGGGACACAGCTTCCCCTGCGTAAACCTTCCTGATGCTCCTACGTGTCTTCCTAATGCTCTTGCAACAAATTGCAGATGCTGTGCCATGGCCTGGTGGTTGGATCTCTTGTCCCTGGTCCAGTCTACTTCCCTCTACTCAATTCCCCATCCCCAGCCACCTTGGTCGCCTTTGGGGTCCTCTACAGTGCCACCTCCTTCCCACCACAGGGCTTTTCCCAAGCTCTTCTCTCCCCCACCCCCAGTGGCCTCTCTGAGTTACTCCACACTTGGTTCAGATTTCAGCTCAGGCACTGATTCCCTGGGAGACTTGGCAGCTGGCCCGATCCAGATTCTTTTGTTATGAATGCAAGGAAAAAATGTTCCTTTCCTTGAATACCTTGAGCCCTACCTCTACTGACCCCTCACCGGCTCCATCGGTCCCTATGTCTGTGTCTCCTGGTGTGAGTGGGCAGAGTTTGACGTGCTCATCACCGTGTCCCAGTCCCCAGTCCAGCCTGTCGCGTAATTAGCATCTGATACACATCTGTAGCAGGAGATTAATACACAGAACCATATTCCTTCCTTTGCCATCTCTCCTGGCCTGGCCCTGCCCCACCCCAAGTGCGACGCCTCAGGCAAGCTGCTTGGTCTGCCAGAGGCCTCCGAAGGAGGGAGCACAGCAGCACCTCAAGGTGGTACACGGGTCACTTTTAGACACAAACTGTGGTCTGTCTTCCTTTCTTTACAATGACAAAAGGATTATTTTATTTTTAAATATCTAAGAGAAATTATGGCACAGTACAGAGGGTAGAAGTTCAACTAGAACAGGAAGTGCAAGGAGGTGGCCTCTACACCTGCTGGGGGCCTCAGCAGGGCCTGGTTCTCACCGGAGTGGCTGGAGCAAGTCACGACAGCTGTCATTCATTGCCCTCAGCTGGTGAGAATGGGGAGGACAAGGACCGAGCGAGGTCCAGGGAGCTGACGGCTGTCATTGGTTCTCATCAGCTGAGCTGGCTCCTGGAACCAGTGGCCAGTTCCTTCCTGTGGGCAGGGGAAAGAGGAGAAGAGAGTGTGTGCAGCCACCTACCTAGTGAACCCCATTTCCTGTATCAGGATGGCAGGGGCATCCACTCACTTCCAGGGAGACATCTCCCTCAGCACCCTCCCTGACTCCACAACAGGCCTCAGGCCCCTGCTGAACACTGCCACAGCTGCCTGGCCCACCTACAACTGTGGGTCCCCAAAGCTGGGTGAGGCAGCCAGGCACCTTGGTTGGTCTCACGGTTCCTCTCCTCTCTCCCCAGGGCTTCTGTTCCTGGTTCTTCAACAGCCTAACCATGAAGTAAGTGCCTGTGCTCTGTGAGCCTGTGACAGTGAGGTCATGGAGGGGCGGAGTCTCTTGTGAGAAGGACCAGCCTCTCCTGGGATGATTCCCTGGAGCCGTACCCCCACACCTCCACCCCACGCCGCCTCCTGCCTCACCCCATGCAGGCAGACAGTGCTTCCCAGAGTTACAGCTGGTGAACGGGAACTGGATGTAGTTTCTCACCCGGGCCACCCCTGCCACAGTGTGCAGGGAAGGAGCGCACATAATAGTGGAACCATTACTCCCATGTGTATAAACCTGAGTCTGAACTGCACACCAGGAAAAGAAATCCTTTCTGCATGCTGTTTGCTTGATTTCTGTGCACATAACTTGATCATATTTGTCCGGAGGGAGCAAACTCATGGGGCGGAAGGGCGGACTTCCTCTCTGCACCTGGGTTACAGGGGAACATCTCTGTCCACCTCCTCTTCAGGCTTTCTGTAGTTCAAAACTCAACTTGGCCACGACGCAGGCCTCAACACACCTGCTTTCTCCTGATTCCCCAATACTGGCCAATGCTTTAGCTGAGCCTTAGCAGAAGTCTCTGCCTTTGGTGCCTGCACACGCATGCACACTCACACGTGTGTGTACACACACACACACGTGCACACACCTCAGCCCTGCATGTGCTCAGAGGCCTGCATGATCCTGGGCTCTTATCCACCCTGCCCTGCCTGCCCTTCAGACTGCTCTTGCCTGGTGACACCTGCTTTGGGGTCCAGCCCCACTGCTTCTTGCAGGCCACATGTATGTGGGGCTTGAGCAGGGGTGTTAGTGTGGTTCTTTTGCAAAATAACTGCCACCCAGTCTACTTGGAGAAACAAAGGCCAATACGACTCTATATACCATCCATAATGAGGGAGCTATAATTTGCTAAACAAAGGCACTCAGGAAAAAGAGAATGAATTCCAACTGGGGCATTCAGGAACATGTAGTTTTGAGCTGGATCTTGAAGGATGGGAGAGGTTTTGACAGTGAAGGGCATATCACAGAAGTCAGAAGTTTGGGGGAGAGATGAATAAGAAGCATCCTACTCATTTTAATTTAAGGGATTCAAATAGACAGCTCTTTATGTAGGATGCATCTCCATATCAGTAGTGCTTTGCCCAGCTCCTGCCCCCTAGGAAGTACTCAGAGTACTAGCAGAAGTAATGAAAGGATAACTGAGGCCTGATATTGACAGCGCACCCAGTTCCCATGTGTGCACACATAATGTGGCCTTTCTCTTCCATGTATCGGTGAAGCATGCTGACGTGCACTTCTGGGGCCTTGAGAGGAAGGGGAGTGTTTCCATAAATAAATAAAACTTAGGGGTGGCATGGCCATCTTCCTTCCCTCCTCTACCCTCACCCCTAGCCATGGCCATGCTGGCTCCTGAGAACTGTCCTTGTTGTGTCTCTTCCAGGGACCAGGATCTGATCAGCAAGTGTGGGGATGACGCACGCATCTATCTCACGTTCCAGTATCATTTCATCATCTATGTGCTCATCCTCTGCGTCCCTTCCCTGGGCATCATTTTGCCCATCAACTACACTGGAACTGTTCTGGGTAGGCAGGGTTCAGGGGCCTGGCACTACAAGACCCAAGAGGCAGCTGGAGAGGTGGGACAGAACTTGGGCCTTGGGGGTCAGAAAATCTGGATTTTAATCCCTCCCCTGGACGGTAGCTGTCAAGTGACCTAGACAATCCACACTTCAGGTCCTTCACCCAGAGGCCGAAGATTGGCACATGGCAGCCACATAGCATCATTTCAGTCTAGAACTGTTTTCTCACATCCCTACTCTGCACCTGGCCAGGACGCGTGGCCCACTGCAAAGGTCCCTAAACACTGCTTCTCCCTGTAGCCACCCTGATGGACATAGCGCATAAGCACAATACTAGTCTCCTGGGACTTGTGCCTAACTTACTGTGATGGGGTGCATCCTCTTACAAGACAGCATTGTGAGTGAGGGCTGGGCTTTGAAGTTAGAAAAATCTTGGCTCTACAATTTTTCCCATATTTGCTCCCTAGAAAATATCTTTGCCCAAGTTAACAAATTAATTGACTTCATATTGGACAAGTCAGCCTCTACAGACCTCGGTTTCCTCAGTGTCTTGGGCACTGGGAGATAATGACTAGTGCCTAGCATGGTGCCTGACACACAGCATGAGCTCTGAGACCAGCTGCAGTATTCCACTTAGAGTCATAGGACAGACAGGGCTGCAGGAGGACTGAACAATGAGACAGTGAGTGGTAGCACTGTCACTGTCCAGGTGGCCACCAGCTCTATATTCCTCAGATTTCTGCCTGTTTCTCCCCACCCTTATGTAGACCTTACTAGATGCAGTGTAGTACATCGTCTGGGGCACCAGGTTCCACCACCAGTGTTAATAACTTCCGTCTCCTGTCTTTCCGGATTCTCATCCCAAGAGCTACTGTGTGAGCAATGATGGTGTGATGCAGGATTCTTAGACACATCTCACAAAACCTGGAAGTGTCAGAACCAACACAGTATACTTAGCCAGAAGGGTGTACTCTGTTTGAGGAGGTGTCCCATTTTCTGGAGTTCTGGGTTCTTGCTGTGATGGTGACTGGTGTTGCTAATCCCTTCTTTCTACCCATGGCTGGACAGCCAGTCCCTTTAGCTAGAATTTACTGGGTGTCTGCTATGCACCGTCTGCCCTAGGGACACCTGTGAACACATGGTCTCACCGGACACCCAAGAGCCCCAATCAGCAGTACTGGGAAGATGAGTTTTTGTTGGAAGCTGAAGAGCTGGAAGGAAGGGCACATTGTAGCAAGTGTCTTCAGGACCTGGGCGTCCATTTATTCAGGAGCCTTCAATTCCAACCTCCTCCCCCACCAACACCCAAGGAGCCTCTCAAAGTGGCGTCTTTCTTCTCTTTCAGACAGGAATAGCCACTTTGGTCGGACCACCATCGTCAATGTCTCCACAGAGTAGGTACCTGACTTTCCTACCTCCCATTCTACTGACTGGACATTGGTGGGGAAAGAAAGTCCAGTGTATCAGTCCACAACCTGGGCACCAGTGCTGATGAGAGGCCTAGTTTCCTTGGGAATCTGGGTCCTGAGTGCATGCTGGAAATTGCCCCTTTTTTGGTGGAAAGGACTCTTAGAGCCTCATATCCTCACCTGTCAGGAGTGGAACCAACGAGATTGGCCACTCCTGAGGACTGGAGAAATGGTCCAATCCCTTAATATATACAGCTCCAAAGAGCCAGCAGGGATCCTGTACCAAGGAGAGGTTTAGGGGATTGTCTCCCTGCTCAGCATGGGTTCAAGTCAGTCCTCGTGTCACCGAGTGACTTGTGGATCTCCCAGTCCCCCCGCCCCACCCTGGCACTCCTATTCCTGCAGCAGAGAGACCAAGAGGAATGTATGACGGATTCATGTCCCACCTTTGCCAGCCACTGGCCCTGGACCCAGGGCAACGTGCCCTCCGCCCCTGAGCTTCGGTCCGCACCCATGGAGGGGAAGAGCTGTAGGACAGAGTCTCTATGCCCATGCCGCTCACAGTCCAGCTACCTGTGGCTTTCAGCACCAGCCAACCTGACCAGTGGCCAGATCAACCTGTCCTGAGTCAAATACAGCCCTGCCAGTCCACTGGGGGCTGCAAGGAGTCTTGTCCAGGCTTGGTGCCCTCCTGACAAAGCTCAGAAGTGCTCCCTGCAGGTGTGAGTGGGCTCACATGATCCTGCCCCTAGCCCTGCCCCGCCACCCCTGCACTCTGCCAGCAGGCTGCTTAAATCACAGGACAAACTCTCAAATCACAGGACGCGGTGTGGCATCCTCTCCCTCCCCTTTGAGCCGGCTCTGCCCCCAGTGCTGCCACCCAGAGCACAGCTCCCAGATTCTTCCCTAAGTCAGTCATTCTGAGGTGCTGACACCTCCCAACAAGTGAATTCTAAAAGAGCCGTAAAGAGCTCTGTGTGCAAGGCTCCATACCAGCCATGGGCTGGAAAGTTCCCTAGAGACCATGGACCCTTGCCCTTCTGCAGAGACGGAGCCACCTGGCATCTAGCTAGCGGGGAGAGGCATGTGAAGGCCAGGCACTAGCACAGGGAGTGGAGGTATCTCGAAGCAGAGCAGCCCTTTTCTCTTCCTCATGCCGCGTGACAGGGTGGGCCCCACTCCCCACCAGTCATTCTGACTCGAGGCCTTGGGACTGCACCCCACAGGCTGCCAGCTGGGATGGAAACCTGGCCCAGGTGCCCCCTGGCTCCTCTCCCCCTGTGCCCACATGGGGCCCTGCGTCCTCCTCACTTGGCCTTCTGGGCAATTGTGGGGTGAAGTATCTCAGTCCCTCAGCAACTTTGGGAACCCCTTTCTAGCACTGTCACTCCTGTGAATGACCCGGAGCAGGTCACCGGCCACTCTGGCCCTCGTTTCCTTGTGGGTAAAATGAAGATAATCATGGAACTACCCTGCAAGGCACTGGAAATCCAGTGAGAGAAAGACATAAAGAACTTAGTCCCAGCCAGATGTGGTGGAGCACACCTGTAACCCTGGCACTCTGTAAGGTTGAGGCAGCAGAATTGAAAATTTGAACCCAACCTGGGGAACTTAGCAACTTAGTGAGACCTTGTCTCAAAAAATAAAAAAAGGATTGAGTACAAAAGGCTCTGGGTTCGGTCCCCAGTACAAAAAAGAAAAAGAAACAAAGAGAGGAAAGAAAGCACTCATAGAAAGAAAGAAAGAAAAGAAAGAAAGAAAGAGAATTTAGTCCCATCCTGGATATGGTACATAGTAAACACGCAATAAGTATTACCATTAGTAGGGGCCAGGCCCTCTGAATAGCACTAGTGCCCCGTGCAGGATGCCTGAGAGTTGGGGCTCTAAGAGGGGGCCTGGGGACACTGTGAGTAGAGGAGGAGGCCTGAAGACACCACAGTGGGAGGAGGGCTTCCAGCAACACCATGGTGGCGGAGGGGTCCTGGGTCACCCCGGTGGCCTCTGGAAGCCCACAGCACCGCCAGCCTCTGCTCCATTCTGGCAGGAGTAAGCTCCTGTGGGTGCACAGCCTCTTCGCCTTCCTGTACTTCCTCACCAACTTCGTCCTCATGGCCCATCACCGCTTGGGGTTTGTGCCCAAAAAGAGCCAAAAGGTGAGTGCACGAAGAGCCCCCTCCCCAGCTGGGCCAGCACCCCAGCCTGAGAAGTCCCAGCTCAGCACCCGGAAGGTCTCCCCCGCACAGGGGCAGGCCCCTCCTCTTAGCCCGTGCATGGTCGCTGCTCTCACCCCTGCATTCTACCCTCCCTCCAAAGTTGTGCCATTGAAACTTTTCACACTGCTTAGTGAATAGCTGCGGCCAGCTACCTCCTAGCCATTCTGCAATCTGTCTTCCTTGTCCTGCCCCTGGCGTATCCACACTACATGGGTCTGGGGGACCCCTGTCCCCTTCCCAAGCAGACCCTGAGACCAAGGCTTGAGTGACATTTATTTATTTGGGAGGAATCTCAGAAAAGGCCAGCTCTGAGTAGGGGGGAAGCAACGGGTACAAGGATCTGTCGCTGGGCAGCTCAGCAGAGTGGCAGCCGGAACTTACTGCCTGGGACCCGGGAACTGGTGTAGAACATGCACCCTAGAATGCTCCCAGGCTGGAGGTGAACTGTCAAGGGTAATTTCTCCCAAACTCTCTGTCCACCTGGCTGAGGGCTGTGTTGGGGACTTTGACGCTTCACTTCTTGTCCTGCATATAAGCTGAACACAATCCCAGGAAAGAGCCCTCCAGCAGACTCCCATGTTTGAAGTATGTCACGGCCTGTGGAGTGCAGAAATAAATGCCAAGGAACTATGGGTGGACAATGGCAGGGCCACCTGCCCAGATCAGGGCCTGGTACAAGGGTAGGGGCCTTCCTGGGGCCCATGATCTGCAGGAAGAGAAACCTTGCAGATGTTCATCCTTGGCTCTGCATTTAACCTGTTATGGCTTCAGTGAAGTAGGGTCTGTGCTTTTGAGCTGCCCATCCTAAAGGACTGAGTCACTTTAACCCACCCGAGTGCAAAACCACACTCCCTGAAATGTCACCCCGACTGCTTCAGCCCACCAAGCATGGAGCCTTGGGCGCTCCTGACCAGTCTGGACTCAGCTACTTCAGCTTCTCTTACCATCATCAAATGCTTCTACCAAGACCCTCATCTCTTACAGCATAGTTTACCAGACTTGGTAAACTTGAAGGTGATGGTGCAGAAAGACATTTCCTACCCAGATAATAAAATAGGAAGTTTGGGAGAGGACTTCTCAGTCTCTCCCCAGAGTCTTGCTGTGTTAGTTTTTTGTTACCATAACAAAATACCTGAGACAATCAGCTTAAAAAGAGGGAAGGTTTATTTTGGCTCACAGTTTAGGAGGCTTCAGTCATGATGAGGAGGCCCTATTGCCTTTGGGCCTGCACCAAGCCAAGGTGCCATAGCAGGGGAGGCTGCTACCTCATGGCAGCTGGGAAGCAAAAAGAAAGAGGAGGAGAAGGGGCCAGGATCCCAGTGTTCCCTGTGAGGCACACCTCCAGGGACCTGAGACTTCCCATGAGGCCTACCTCTTAAAGGTTTCCACGAGTTCCCGGTAGCACCAAGCTCAAACCAAACCTTTAAATCATGGGCCTTCGGGAGACATTCCAGGTCTAAACCATAGATTGCTCACCCTACCTCCCCTATGCTGGCTAATGGTAAGGATTTCCCTGGCAACATGGGGCTTTATGCTGGAAGGGGTGGAATGGCAGGGAGACTCAAAATCACTGCAGGAGCTGCATCTACAGGAAGTGGTGTAAGCAGCTGTTTTTAGCCATGAGCTGTGGTCCTGGCCCTGTCTGCACCTCTGGCTTTCCCTCCCTTCACAGCTGTCTGTGTCAGGAGCCAATAGCTGGAACACAGAGAATAAGAAAGGCACAGTTTGCTGACCTCAAGGCTACAGGGCTCAACTGGGACAAAATGGCCAGGGAAGCTGGCTCAGGGCTTGCTCACCAGGGAGGCTCTGGGCATTAGGCGGAAGGCCTGCTCCCCAGGGGCCTGGGCCACCAGGAAATGACTGGAATTTCTGTGCAGAGAAGCACAGCCTTCTCTCTCCATTTGCCCTCCCCACCTAGGTCACAAGGACACTAATGATCACCTATGTGCCCACGGACATCCAGGACCCGGAGATGGTCATCAAGCATTTCCAGTAAGTGATGCGGGTGGGCCGAGGTGTGCATCCCATGGTCCTGATAACCACACCCGCCCTCATGTGGGTTGGAATTGGCCCAGGGTGGTGGGGCTAGGAACACCCCTGGTGGTGGCCCTTCCTGGACTCAACTCAGTACTGACTTTTCAGAATGGAGAGAGCCACTGGGGCTGGAACAAGGTTCTGGATTCAGGGACTTCCTGCATAGCAAGGGTGTGAGGCTCCAGATTCTGAGCCCAGGGAGGCCCTACACCCTGCTGTCTGGGCCCCAGCATCGTGAGACCTCTTCAGTGACCCCAGGTTCCTGGCCTGAAGGAGACTGTCCACTGAGCTTATTACCTCTCTGAGCAGCTCTTCCCTTGGTCCCTACTGGTCGGAACTCTTCCTTGGCCCCATTCTTGGTCATCTAGGAAGGATGCAGCAACTCAGATTACCAGGGTCCAAACCCTGAAGGTAGTCCAGCCTTCAGAGCAAGCTCCAAGGCAGCCCCAGGCAGCCAATCCCCCCAGCTCAATGGACTGTCCCACCGGGAAAGGGTGAGCAGAACATCCCCAGCCCCACGGGCTCAGCATCTGTGTCTGGCTGCAGCGAGGCCTATCCAGGGTGCGTCGTGACCAGAGTCCACTTCTGCTATGATGTCAGGAACCTGATTGACTTGGACGATCAGAGGTGAGGCCTGGGCGGGGGCTGTCGGGATCTGGGCTGGGGGTACAAGGGGAAGGTGGGGCTCTGCTGGGCCCTGATCCAGAGATACTCCCTCATTGCCTGTGCTGACAGGCGCCATGCCATGCGGGGCCGGCTCTACTACACGGCCAAGGCCAAGAAGACTGGGAGAGTAATGATCAGGATCCACCCCTGCGCCCGCCTGTGCTTCTGCAAGTGCTGGACCTGTTTCAAGGAGGTAACTGGCAGGGCTGTGGGGGTGGCAGGGAGGGGAGCCCTGGTGCTCTGGGATCCATCCCTTGCCCACACCCTAGGGCCCCAGGCCTCATTCCAACCCACCCCAGTGCTTGAGCACAGCCCCCTCCCTCCCTTTCCACCAGGGCCCAGCTCCCTGTTGAGCATATAGAGGAGCTCAAGCCTTTCTTGGGGCCATCTCCAGGGACAGAAGGGCCAAAACACAGCAGGCTCCCTGTGTTCCTCAGATTCCCAAAGACATAGGGCAAGGCTGGCTGAAGGCCACAGATCCACCTTATCCCCAACCAGTAGGCTAGAAGGGGTCTCAGGACTTGGACTTGAGGGCAGTACTGGACTCCAACCAGAGCAGAAAGGGAATTGCCCCCTCTCCTGACAAAGCTGTGCATTCTCTTGTCTCTCTGGGGTTTACCCAAGTCTGAAACTGGCCCCCATCCCTGCTGTGCCTCACTGTCCCCAGATAAGAGCAGGGAAAAAATGGCAGAGTCACCCTGTGGCCGTTCTAGAGGTGGCTTCAAGGCCAAACCCCCGCTTCCAGGCTGCTGAGTGGACAGGTCCCCAAGTCCAGCAGAGCCTTCCTGGGACTCTGGCCTCTGGCTCTGAGGGCCGCCTCTTGCCCCAGGTAGATGCAGAGCAGTATTACAGTGAGCTGGAGGAGCAGCTGACTGATGAGTTCAATGCCGAGCTCAACCGTGTGCGGCTGAAGCGTCTCGACCTGATCTTTGTCACCTTCCAAGACTCCAGGATGGCGCAGCGGTGAGCACTGTGCAAGCAGTGGCTTGCAGCCCCCTCCCAGCCCCAAGGGTGGGCCTCTGCTTCTCTCCTCCATCCTCTCCAACCCCATTCCATCCTAGGTGAGGAGATAGAGCCTTCCTCCAGCTGCCTGTTCTTAGCTCCTCCCTGCTCTTCATGGGCAGTGCCATCTTGCTTTCCAGAGTGTGGCCATACCTGTTTTCTCAGCTGCTGGGGCTCAGCTTGTCTCCCAAGATGCCCAGGCCCTGCGCCCTCACTCTATATGTTCTTGCTTCAGTACAGAGGTGGTCAGCATAGCCTTTGACCTCTTGACTTCTCTTCCAGGTCTTGCTAAGAATGATAGTCATTTTCCCTTATTGCAAATATTGCTCCTTTTCCTTGCCACAAGTGAGAGGGTCAGGAGAGAGAAGCCTTACTTGCCTTTCCCTCTCTTCTGTTGTAGGCCTCCCCTAAGTCATAGCCCTGCAGCCCCTCTGTGTTCTCCCCCAGCCTCTGGCAGCCTCATCTCAACAAAGAATAAATTAGGTCCACTCTGGAATGCTCCAGAAGGATCCTTAGGACTGGACTAAATAGTTTGGAGCTGCAGGATCAGTCTCCGAAGGCTTGTGGGGACCTCCTGTCCAGATGGGAGCTTGATAATGCATAGCATTGTCCTCACGACCCCCCAGCCCTGTATAAGAATAGTGGAACACACTAGATTTTAATTGTAAATAATGGTGCACAATTTTACAAGTCCCTTATACTCAAACTTCTTACCTGTGCAGCGTCACTTCAATTCCCCTCCCAGAGGACTGACAAGGGATACACATAATCTGTTTAATGTGTATGCTCTATAAAGCCATGCGCCTACACAAGATAATACCGTTCATTTCCTGAGACATCACCACTGGGTGTCGAAGACCTGAGGCTAAATTACTGCAGAGTGTGAGTTAGAAGGTCAAAGACAGGGCTCCAGTACCAGCACCACCCTCTTCAGTTGCATCTCAAGGTACCTCAATTTAGGAATCTGCAATTGAGATTCTGTTAAATCACCAGTGAGCACCGTGTCAGACGGGTACACAGGAAGAACTCAATAACCAGGAGCTATTGATAGTAAGATGAGGCTAAATTAATACCTTCTCATCAACCACAAAGGAAGAGCACATCTCTGATGCCTCTGCTGATAGCAGAAAGGCAGAAACTGAGAACAATGCGGCTCCCTCCTCTTTCTGGACAGTCCAGGCACCCTCAAATGTCCCTTTCCTGCAGCTTTGGGGGCTTAGGAGCTGTCCACAGTGGCCCTAGGACCCTGGCGTGTGACCCTTCAAGGCTCATCCTCCCACCCCGAGACCTCTGTATCCTCCCCGTCTCCCCTCTCTGCAGTGTCCAGGAGGATTACAAGTACATCCATTGTGGTGTGCACCCCCAGCAGTCCTCAGTGACCACCATCGTCAAATCCCACCACTGGAGGGTCGCTCAGGCCCCACACCCAAAAGACATTATCTGGTAAGCCTTTTCATCCCTCCCCTCTCCATCCTTCCCCTCTCCTCCAAGCTGTCCTCTGAGCCTGAAGAAGACAACCAGACAGGGAGCCCCAGTATTATCCAAATACCTTTGCCACTGGGCCATGCCATGTACTTCCCAAATGTCACAGCCTCTGGCCACCCCAAGCTCACCCCACCATGAGCATGGAATGCCCCCAACCTTTGGGGGAAATGTCTGTCTGCAGAAGGAGCTCAGATCCATCTGTGAGATATATTCTAAGCCATTGCAGATGTGTGACCAAGGGGAAGCCTGGAGTTGCAGGACAAAGGTCTGGATCCACAGCTGCCATGCAGGAAAGAGCACAAGGGCTCTCTCTAAGGGCTGGATCCAGTGTCCTAAATGCACCTCCCTCCTCCATCCCTCCCCAGGAAACACCTGTCCATCCGCCGCTTCAGTTGGTGGGCCCGCTTTATTGCGATCAACACCTTCCTCTTCTTCCTCTTCGTCTTTCTCACCACGCCTGCCATCATCATCAACACCATCGACATGTACAACGTCACCCGCCCCATCGAGAAGCTCCAGGTGCCTCCTCTGCTCAGGCCAGGCCTGGGGGGCCCAGGGAGATCAAGGAAGAACACAGGCGAGGATGGGATGGGGGAGCCCATATACTGCCAACATGCCGGAGGTGAATCTGTGTCGGTGCAGAATAGAGCTTTTTATGCTGAGTGGGATGAATGTGGATCACTGCCCGCCTTAGTGACAGGTGCTGGAGAGGGAAGGGAGACTAGGGGAGCTGCTCAAAGGTCCTGGAGTGAGTTTGAGGATGGGTGGCCCAGTCGGTGTGGGCTTAGAGGGCTCTGTTAGATCAGGCCACTTGGGCCAGGCGGGGGTACGGAGGGCATGGCAGGTGTGAACATCTCTGGTCTCTCCAGGTTTGCTAGGGCTGAAATGTCCTGATATGGCTGGGGGTAAGGAAGAGTGGGGTTAGTCCCAGCATAGCCTGTGAAGAGGAGGGACCTTTGGATCTGTCTCCCTCACCTCCAGACACCTTCTCGCCCAAGCTATGGGGGCAGGAGCCATCCCTGAGGTTAGAGGACACTCCTCCTGACAGGCACTGCCCTGAAACCTGGCCCACTTCTGGTTCTGCTGCCTCAGTGCTGCTCTGATGAGCTAGAAGGCTTCTCCTTCTTCCACACAGCCCCTTCTCTCTTCCCAGCAACACACACACACACACACACACACACACACACACACACGTACGTTGAGCCACACCACTTCTTTTGCTCCTTTGGCCCCCAGTCACCCCCTCACTGGGGCCCCACTGCAGTCCCTGAGGATTCCCCATTCCCCACCCTCGCTGGACTCCCCTGCTCCTCATGCAGTGTCAGCCTTGTCACCCTGAGCTGTGTGACAAGTGAGTGACAGCAGCTGACTCTGGTGTTAAGAGTGAAGTCATCAGGGAGAGCTCAATCTGCCCTTCCGGTGACCGTGGCATAGAAAGCCTAGTCCCCTGGGGGCTCCACTTGACCTTGGGGTGTCAGCCTCTTCCTCGCTCCAATCAAGTAGACTCGTGCTCAGGGAGGCACCCAAGAAAGTCTGGGCTCACTCGGTAGCCTCAGGAGCAGCAAGCCTGCTCAGTCTGAACTAGAGGTGAAGAGGCAGGGGTAGGGAGAAATCGGGACAGCCTGCCAGAGGAAGGGGCTTCTTGCATTGATGTTTCTCTTGTCCGTCTCCTTTCTGCCCCTACAGAGCCCAGTTGTGACCCAGTTCTTCCCCTCCCTGCTGCTCTGGGCCTTCACGGTGATAATGCCTCTGATGGTCTACTTCTCTGCCTTCCTTGAGGCCCACTGGACCAGGTAAGCTGGGGTCCTCCTCTCCTAGCCCTTCTCTTTTCCCCAGTCTCCCCTTCCCTATGCCCTACCGCCTGGCACTTGGGTCTGCATCTGGCCTAAAGATTAGAACTGATATGGGATTCTTTGATACCTGAAGCCATCCCCAAAGACCAGCAGGTGTTTTCTTTTTGGAAAGAAGTGCTGGGTTCTTCCCAGGACTCTAGCCTTGCAGATGCTGACTAGAGCCCTAACCTAAGGGAATGAGGCCCTTCTTGGGCTACTCCTTCAGTCCCCAGCTATATACTAATAGTCTGGAGCTGTAAGCATGGGCTAGGCAGTGCCAGAAATTTCAGGCAGGGTGCACAGATGAAAAGACTTGCTTGCAGAGGGTCAGGTAAGCAGCTACGGCAAGAGCACAGGAGCTACAAACTCAAACTGATTGTCAACACATTTAGCCCATATAGTGCCAACATTCCAAACAATTGGGAGATTTTTAAGTCTTTATCCCTAATACTACTGTGGTGGCAGCTAAGTGGGTAGAAAGTGTTTTCTGCATCCCAAGCACACGTCACTGCTTTGGCCTGAAGGCTCCCTGGCTCTCAAAAGTCATTTCCTTGGGGGCCGGGGATGTAGCTCAGTGGTGCTGAGCCTGCCTGGCAAGCACAAGGTCATGAGTTCAATCCCTGGTAGCGCAAAAAAAAAAAAAAGTCATTTCCTGCACCGAAAGTTCCTACCATTCTAACAGACAGTAAGCCACAAGGGCTGTCCTACCCGAAACCCTCGCTGGCCTTTCCTCTGGCCAAGAGCAAGGCTTGTGTTGATTACTGAGGTTCTGTAGGGATCCCTGTATCACTGGTAGTGTCTCTTTGATAGAGTGATATCGAATGTATGACACGTGTGTGCCCTTCCTCCCCTTCCTGTGCCCAGGGCAGCCATCACTACTCGATCACGCTATTCTCTCCTGCGGCTCCCAGATGCAGCACAGCTCCCAGTGTTCCGTGGAGAGGGCACTAGTACAGTTTACGGAGCCACTTTCCAGCCCAGCTTTCTCCCCACCCCTGTCTCACACCCTGATGATCTCTCTCCATTTCCTTCCAGGTCCAGTCAGAATTTGATCATAGTGCACAAGTGCTACATCTTTCTCGTGTTCATGGTGGTCATTCTGCCCTCAATGGGACTGACCAGGTATTGCACTCCTAGTTATCCCCCCTCTCCCAGCCAGGCTCACCCTAGAGTGGAAACACCCTCTTTCAGATACTATAGATCATCAATAATGACAGTCCTGTGCCGCTCATGGGTGTAGCTTGAGTGGCTACTGTGCAGACTCGGGGTACTGGCCATGAATTCTGCCCTAGCTGGCTGAGAAGGTGTACCTGCCGGCTGGCTCACAGCCTGAGGCACTAACACAGCCGATATTGAGTAGAAATTTAGACAAGGGAGAAACCCCTATGGGAGAAATGGCTGGTGACGTTTTGCTGGGGAAGGTGGCCTTGTGCTGGAAGGCCAAAGGGTCAGGTGCAGAAGTGGCCAGCAGGAAGAAAGAAGAGGGGCAGTGTGGGTGGGCCAACTAGAATCAAACAAGGGTCTTTCGGATTTGAGCTAGAGAGGATTGAAGGGGGAAGCCAAGCAAAGAGAAATTGAACCCTAGGCCTTAGCTCTCATTTCGGTAACTAAAGGGCTGGCCTTGTTCTTGCTTCTAGTTTGGATGTCTTTTTACGCTGGCTCTTTGACATCTACTATCTGGAGCAGGCAACCATCAGGTTCCAGTGAGTACTCCCACATGTATACCAGGGCTGCTGGGTGTCCACACTGGGGTAGGTTTGTGCCCCTTTCCCTGAATCCAACACCTGCACCACCCACAGAGGTGTAGACAAATGTATCTGAATGCTCTCACTGCTTTTGGTGGGGACTCCTTTGGCAATCTGGTAAAGCCCAGGGACTCCTTGGAATGATGTTTGTGAAATCATAGTGCTATGTGCCCTCATCCAGTTTACCCCAATGGCAACATTTGCACAACTATGTATAGTATAATATCAAAACCAGGAAATTGACATTGGTACAATCTAGGGAGCTTATTCACATTTATCCAGTTTTACAGGTAGTCTGAATGCAGTATGTAAGAGCACGATATACATGGGTTGGAAAGAAAACCAATAATATTGAAATACAGTTATCAAAATGTTTTTATAATAAACGTTGTGGGGCTGGGGTTTTGGCTCAGTGGTTCCACCGCTTGCCTTGCAAGCACAGGGTCTTGAGCTCAATCCCCAGTACCAAAACACAAAAAACAAAAAACAAAACAAAACGTTGTGAGACAGTATTAGCACATCAGTAACAAAACCATTTTAAATACAGGCAAAGTAGTTACATTTTATTATTTTAAAGACATCAGTGTAAACGTTGACATTACTAGAATAAGACATTAAATTATGGAGGGGAGAGAATCTTTGAAAAGGGCTGGGGATTTAGCTCAGTGGTTCCAGCGCCTGCTTTGCAAGCACAAGGTCCCAAGTTCAATCCCCTGTACGAAAAAAAACCACACACACACACAAAAAGAGAATCTTTGAAAATGCAGTGTGTGGATTGTGGTTAACATCCAGACAATTTTGATTTTTTTTTTTTTATGGTTACAAGTGTTGAAAATCCCAAAGATATGTTTTAAATGCCATGATGCTTCCACAGCACAAGCCAAGAACCAGACGTCTCCAAGGTTTTTGCAGTTAAACGATTATTGTAATAAGGTTTTTTTTTTCTAAGATGAACAGGTTCATCTTTGGCTAGGCAAGTATCTTCAATACTCCTTATATGTGAGAAAGAAAAGATTTGTGAGTTCATGATTCAACTCGAATCAAGACACAATAGCTTTTTTTCCTATTAGCGCATATTTGCAGTACCTAATGATTACATTCCTTGTGGGGAGTTGGTACAGGTACATAACACATCTTAGGTCTATTTCCATCCCCATTCCCTTCTCTCCCACCTTCTTCCTTCATCTCTTGATCTCCTTCCCATTTGAGAAATATCTATCTCCCTACTTCCTGTTATCTAGCTTTTACTGTGCTCTTTATCTATATTTTGGATTCCTCATTAAGAAACAATCATTTTTTAAGGAGTTCTGAAATGTGTTCCTGGGCTCAGTTGTGTGTTTTTAAAGAAGTTAACAGTTGTATAAATGGGGATACCAGGAAGCAACAGAGATGCTTGGGTCACTAAATTTTAAAATACTTTGATGACTATATTTCACTGTGATTGGTTTTCTTTGTAGGCCATGTATCTTGTGCATTAAAGACAACATTCAGATGAATGAATGGCAGGTGAATGAATTACTCCCAGATGAAGTTGCCCAGCTATGTCAAGCATATTCTCCCGTAGACAGGAGAACTTTAATCATATGTGATTTAGCAGCATGTCTCATTCCTGCCATCATTTTGAAATGGTGACAAGCACCATTGAAATGCTGATGAGCCCGAATGACATATGTAAGATGTCAGCAATGACTATAATGTGATTTCAGTTAGTGACAAAGTTGCAACGGCTAACATTCCACAATTTTTGGTAGTACTGGGGATTGAATCCAGAGAATGCTGAATTACCTCCCCAGTCCTCCTTTCTCTCTCTCTCTCTCTCTCTCTCTCTCTCTCTCTCTCTCTGTGTCTCTCTCTCTCTCTCTCACTTTATTTTGAGAGTCTCACTAAGTTGCCCAGGCTGGGCTTGAACTTGTGATCCTCATGTCTCTCAGTCTGAGTAGGTGGCATGTGCCACCCCACCCAGCAGTTGCCCACATTCTTAATTGAAAGAATACTATATTTCAATTAAATATTAGTGAAAATAAAAATGTAATTTTTCCCATTTAAGGTCTTAAGACTTTCGGAATTGAGGTCAGACACCCTTGTTTTGGAACAAGCTGTGCACAAGTCTCCCAGCACACCTCCACCACCCGTATCTCTGCTCAGAAGTCCTTGTTAACTTAAATTGGGTTGAGGACATGTGTGAGCACACACACGTACACACACACACACACACACACACACACACACACAAGGAGCCATGCACCACTTTGCAGCAGGGAACCCTCTAAGTACTGCCTTGCGAGGTGATTTTGTTGTGCAGATATCACAGAGTGTACTTATGCAAACGGTGTGGCTTCAGCCTCCCCAGGGGATGTCATCTTCTGGGAGCACCATTGTATATGTGGCCATCATTGGCTGGCATGTTGGTTATGCGGCACATGACTGTATATGAAACTTTATTCTCACTTGTAACCCCCGCTCCCTGTGCTGTTTTTCTCTTTCTCTCTTCCTTCCAATGTCTCCCCTTGTCTCTATGCCCTGGCTTGTCACTGTCTTCTGCTCTGCACAGGTGTGTGTTCCTGCCGGACAATGGCGCCTTCTTCATCAACTATGTGATCACCGCCGCTCTGCTCGGCACGGGCATGGAGCTCATGCGCCTGGGCTCGCTCTTCATGTACAGTACCCGGCTCTTCTTTTCTCGATCGGAGCCAGAAAGAGTCCACATTCGGAAGGTGAGGGTCGGTCTTTCCCTGGGCGCAGCCCTGCGGGGGCCAGGGAGGGACCTGCTGCGTGCACCTCTGTGTGCATCGGGTAGCTATTTTATGGACTCCAGGGTGGAAGGGAAGCTGCCTCCAGGGCTGAGCTGCAGCTCCCAGGAGGAGCCGCAGGCCAAGGGGGCTGGGCGACCTCTGGTGACCCCTGCCTTCTGCCCCAGAACCAGGCCATAGAGTTCCAGTATGGGCGTGAGTACGCGTGGATGATGAATGTCTTCACCGTGGTGATGGCGTACAGCATCACTTGCCCGATCATCGTCCCTTTTGGTGAGTCACCTCTCAGGTGCACTCACTCAGACTGGGAGGGCGAACGGAGTCCCACAAGTCCCCATGCCACCTCCGAAAGCAAGATGTGACCTGGACAGCCTGTGGTGGGGAGGTGTCAGGGCAGGGCCAGGACAAGGGGGCTGAGGTTGGATGGCTGCTGAAACTGGATGTTTGTTGAATGAATGCATGAATGATTGATTTTTCGCTGAGTGGGAAGGTTAGATCTTGTGGGCTCAGGGGAAGCTGCTGGCCCCAGAGATCAGCACCACAGGGCTCCCACAGCCTGTCCTTGGCTCTCGCTGCTTTCATAGCCCTGAATCTGGTTTCTTGGGCCTGCGGGGACCATGAGACAGCTCAGGTCTTGACTATCAAAGTGGCCACTGACTGGGTGTCCATCTTCGGCACCCAGGGCTGCTCTACCTGTGCATGAAGCACCTCACGGACCGCTACAACATGTACTACTCCTATGCACCCACCAAACTGAGCGAGCAGATCCACATGGCTGCGGTCTCCCAGGCCATCTTTGCACCGCTCTTAGGTCTCTTCTGGATGCTCTTCTTCTCCATCCTTCGAGCAGGTAGGTGCTGGATGATCCTTTCTCTGCTGCCCCACTGCTCTGTGAGTCCCTCAACACCAGTGCTGTTAGAGGGGGAAAAGGCAGGGCGAGCGAGACTTTGCTCGTCAGACGTGTCCCAGTCCATTGGCCTCTCTGGGTCTACAGGCCATGTATGAGCCTCTGAGAAGACCTCTGAGGTGAAGTGGGGTCCAAATTGTATGGATTTTGATCTGAGCAAGAAATTTCATATTCCTTCATGCTAAATCTAGGCTGACCAGAAATACACTAATAGCTGGGGGTGGGGAGGCTCGATTCCCAGGACATTTCGTCCGGGATTCCTACAAGATGCCTGGTTTTATGGGTTTGCCAAACACCTAGAAGAAGAATCAGATTTCTGCACCTTTACTCTTCCCTCGCTCTTTGGTTACAAGAAGCTGCTGTCCCTGTCCAGGGAGCCCAAAGATACCTGCACGGAAGTGCCCACAGGCCACAGGCAGGTACCCCTCAACTTTCCCTCAGTCACCCATGCCGGTAGGCAGCCACTGCCCCTCCCTTGGGACACTAACTTCTCGGAGAAGAGAGGAAGGGGCATTATTTTCTTGACTCAGTCACAGTGACCGACTCTGTCAGTTGTATGACTTATCCATTTTTTGTCACCCCTAGTTTCTTATCCTGCTAGCCTTTCCCTGCCACCTAGCAGACAATTTTTTCCATACTACCTTTTTCCAAGGATAAAGCACTGTATGTTCATTAGCAAAAATAGAAAAATATGAAGATCAAAACTTAAGCCACCCATAATCATACCTGCAGCCTGATATCTGTTGCTCCCAGGGCCCCTCCCAGGCATCTGCCCCTGGGGAGGGGAGCAAGCCGAGAGGGAATGGGTCGATCCACTCTTACTTTACCAAATTGTAACCATCCAGGGTGTAGCCTTGAGTCCTGCATCCCGAGTTTTCCCTGAACATTATGTTCTGAGCAATTTCCTGTGTTACTAAGAGAACACATGCCTTTCAACAGCTGCATTAAATGCTACCCATTTTTGTCAGCCCTCCCCTGCTGGATGCAGAGGTTGTTTACCATTCTGTGCTATTTTGCAGTCACTGCAGTGAGCGTCATTAAGCAATCATCTTTGACTGTAAAGAGTGATTTTCCATCCTCCTCTAGTTAGAAAACTGCTGCCATTAAAAAATGGACTCAAGGGCCGGGGATTTAGCACACTGTTCCGGCACCTGCCTTGAAAGTGCAAGGTCCTGAGTTCGATCCCCGGTACCCCCCCCCCCAAAATGGACTCAATATTTCCACCTGAAATGTAAATGACTTTTGAATTCTGGATTGCTTTTCAGTACCATTAGCCCAGATAACTAAGATGCTCACTTTGACTGGGCTTGTAGGGAAAGGTGGGGATCAAAGACTGAGTTTGGGGCCAAGGCAGAAATGGTAATTCAAAGACACTCCCTGGAACCATGGTAACAGAGATAACAAGAAGGCTATGGGGTTGGGCACTGATGTGGATACTTAGGTCAATCAGAACATTTATTTTCATGGAATCCACAGACACCAAATTCTACCTATACTGGCCACACAGAACAAGGATGATGATATCCATCGGGCTCACTGATCCTGTGGTTCTTGGAGGGAACTTGGGGAAGAGTCTCTCTGCCCCAAGTTCAGAGCTCTTATGGAGTTGCTGAGATGGTCCCTAGCATCTGCCAGCCATCTCAGCTGCCAGGCTTCTCCGCCCTGTTCCTGTGCTGGGCACCCACAGCCAGCGCCTTTTCTTCTCCTCCACAGGTTACCTCCACAGCATCACCTTATTCTCACTGTCTACGCTTATAGCTTCCATGATAATTGCCTTTTTTGGCATTTTTCTGGGGAGGCTGAGGACATCCTCTGACTATGAGGTGAGCTGCCAGTCTGCCCTTTCTCCAGGAACTCCCCTGGCCCGGGGAGACATGGCTCTGGGACCACTTCTTGGCATGGGCCTCCAGAGTATGGCAAGACCGGAGGTCTGGCCTTCCCGATTGTGGGCTTGGTTCGAATGTGTGCAGGCTGGCACTAGCTCTGGCTGGCCCCCACCAGAAGACGCTGTGCCTTCTTTTCTACCCTGATCCCTCCTCCAAACAGCAGGCGGCTGGCCTGTTCCCCTACCACTTGAGTCCAGTCCAGACTGAGCTGTGAGGGCCATTCTGAGGGCCAGAGGGCTGAGGTAGGGCATGAAGCAGAGTCCGGAGGCAGGACGGACAGTCAGCCAGAGCCTGTGCAGCTGGGGCTCTGGAGATGATCTGCCACCATCCCTGTGGCTCTTTGCCAGTGGGGCCCAATCTAACCTTTAAGCCACCTGGGAGAAGGGAGCCAGCCCTGGCACACAGAGCCGTGCGGCCACGCTGTATCTACAGTGGCATTTCCCAAAGTGGGTGCCTTACAGGGTCACTGGAAGAATTTCTAGTAGATCACAACATAACATTGCACCTTTCGTGATTATGTATTTATTTTTCTAGTTAACTTTCTGCGTATGGCAGCTGGCACAGGTTTTCTAACAGTGAATTGCACAGGCATCTCTTCTTGCTTCTCTTGCCTCTGTACTTGGGACTCTGACCACAGGTGCCCACTGCCCTTTCTGCCTGGCCTCTATTGCTCCATCACTGGCCAGAGGGTGCTCGGGAACAGCCAGCTCTTTCTACAGTTTTTCAGCTTTGGGTTTGTTTGTTTTTTTGTTTGAACCCAGAGCCTCTGCACTGAGTTATATCCCCCAATCTATTATTTATTTATTTTTAAATTTTGAGATAAGGTCTTGCTAAGTCATTATGTAGCCCAAGCCGGGCTCAAACTTGCATTCCTCCTGCTTCAGCCTCTCAGCGTGCTGGGATTAGAGGCACCTGTCATCACACCCAGCTAGCTGCCTCTGATACAATGATGCGGTTGCCCAAGTGTCACTCTAGGGAAGGAAGGTAGCAGAGAACATAGAGCAGATTAGTTTAGCACTCCTTCCAGCACAATGGAGGGAACATCCCAGAAAGAAACAGATGTCAAAGCATCCCTATCTTTGTACCCTAATTCCAACTTTGCTTACTTGCCCATCATGGTGCTTGGGACTAGCAAATTCTAGAGGGACTCCTAGCTTCCCAGCCTTCTCCCTGTCCACCTGGGGTTCTCCCCTGTTTGCAGGGCTGAAGTCTGAAAAGACAGAAGAGAAGTTGAGTGCCAGGGTGGCCAGGGCCCAGGTGTGGGTGCAGCGGGCCTGGGTGTGGGGCAAAGAGCTGCCCGTGCCACGACTCACTCACTGCCTATCTCCCTGCTGCAGCCCGAGGAGGAGACCCAGACGGTGTTCGACATGGAACCTAGCAGCACGTCCTCCACCCCCACCTCCCTTGTGAGTCTCTCCTTCACCCTGGGGATAGATCTGGAGGGCAGGGTCTACAGGGGTGCCTAATCCAGTGATGATGTGGGGGGCACCAGCGTTCACTGGCCACTCTGGGACTGGGGAGGAGCCGGCCCCAGGCCCCCTCTTCTGACGCAGCAGGACTTGGCCCAGGTCCAAACGCTGCCGTGGCCCTGGCTGAAGAGCCAGGAGCGAAGACCCAACACTGCCCCGGCACGCACAACAAGGCCAAGGCACTCACAAAGGAGGCAGCCAAAGAGGAAGTACAGGGGGAATTCGATCTCAGAGACCACTTTCGTGTAGACGCAGGGGCGTGCTGGGGCTTGTCCTCGGGACTCCAGGCTGCCTCCAGGGCGCAGGCGCAGACCCAGCTGCAGGGAGCTATTGGCGACGCACCAAATGGTAAGGCAGGGGCAGCGCAGGAGAAACAGAGGCTGGACTCGGCCCGGGCACCCCGCGGGTTGGACGCGGGCTCCCAGGCCCACGCAGCCCCGCCCCATCTCTGCCACCGGTGCGCGCGCAGAGCTGGGCACCGGATCTGCCGGGCCCGAAGCCAGATGCCTCGGAAGAGCCCTGAAGAAGGGCGCCCTCCTGCGCCCCAGGAGGGAGCATCTCCTAAGACTCCGGGGAAGAGAGGAGGGGGTGCAAGGTGACACAGGGACGAACGTTGGAGACAGAGGAGCAGCTTGCTCCAAGGCTGAAAGAGACTGGAGAGCTTGGGGAAGTAGATGCGTTTCCACCTCGGTGGACACGCGGCGGCCTGTGGGAGACAAGGCTCGCTTTGGTAACGGGCAGGGCTGGGCCAGGTGCACAGAGAAGCGGACTGGGGGGGGGCGCGGGGGGGCACCCACGGGTGCAGACAGAGGGCTCAGAACTCCGGGTTTGCCTCACGCGGGTGAGAAAAAATCCCTACAAACTCCCTGAGAGGTGGCAGGGGAGAAGACCAAGACTTCAAATCAGGAAAGACTCTCTGGTCCTGGACCCCTACAATACGAGGACTTTGTTAGCAGTGAGTTATTGAAATCTTAGGAACCTGGTGCTTTGCCATTTTCTCTTTTTTGGGGGGGGGGGTACCGGGGATCGAACTCGGGTCCTTACGCTTGCGTAGCAGGCAGCGAAACCACTGAGCTAAATCCCCGGCCCTTTTTGTTTGTTTGTTTGTTTGTTTTTGGTTTTGGTTTTTTTTGGTACCAGGGATCGAACTCAGGTCCTTGAGCTTTCAAGGCAGGTGGCAGAACCACTGAGCTAAATCCCCAGCCCGCCATTTTCTCTTTTGATATTTTGATAAATCCACACAGTAGGGGCTTTTATCCCCCGATAAGAGGCTTAAAAGGTCGATTTATTATTATTATCATCCTCATTGTCATTATCATCATCATCGTCATCATCATCATCGGCATATCACTGAGCTACACCCAGCGCCAAAAGGTCAATTAGTTTAGACTCCAGAGCACTAAGCAAGAGAGTGAAAGAACAAGGTTTGAACCAGGTTTGTCTGACGATAAAGCCTGTGCTTTAAAAAAAAATTTTTTTAAAAGCAAAACACACTAGAATTGATTTATCTTTCTATTTATTGATTGATTTATTTTTTGAGACAGGATTTCGATATGTTTGGGAGGCTGGCCTTGGACTTCAGGCTCAAGTGATTCCTCCTGCCTCAGCCTCCAGAGTGGCTGGGACTACAAGCATGTGCCACGGGGCCCAGCTTAGAATTTTTAAAAAGTATTTTATTATTACAAGAGTGGTATATGAACATTGTAGATTATTTGGGATAAAAACAGAAAAACAAGAATAAGGAAATAAAAACTTCATATTCTTACCACCCAGATGACCCCTGATACCCTTGTGTATATTCTTCCAGGTATTTATATGTGTGTGTATATCTCTTCCAGACAATTCTGCTTTGCTTATGTACATATATAGTTACACATGTACATACAATTTTTAAGGTGATTTTTTTTTTTTGATGTTTTTGAGACAGGGTCTTGCTATGTAATTCAGGCTGGCCTTGAACTCACTATGTAGCCCATGCTGGCCTCCAACTCATGGCGATCCTCCTGCTTCAGCTTCCTGAGTGTTGGGATCACGGGTGTGCCACCACACCCAACTACATATAGTTTTTACTAAAATGAAATAATACTGTACATATGATTTTTATAACTTGCCAATTTTATTGACAATGTCTACCTTGCCATATATATATATATATATATATATATATATAAAATCTTTTTGAATACCCAATTCATATTGAAGTTGTCCTAATTATTTCACAAATATCTTTTTTTTTTTCAATACTGGGGATTGAACCAAGAGCCTTCACACTGAGATACATCCCCAGTCCTTTTTTTTTTTGTACCAGGGATTTAACTCAGGACCTTGCACTTGCAAGGCAGGCACGGTGTCACTGCACTAAATCCCCAGCCCTTAAATTTTTAATTTTGAGACAGAGTCTTGCTAAGTCACTAAGTTACCCAGGCTGGGCTTGAACTTGCAATATTTTGCCTCAGTCTCCCAGAGTGCTGGGATTGCAGGAGTGCACTACCATGCCTAGCTAAAAATATCTTTAATAGTTTGTCCAAAGCAAGATCCAATCCACTACCTGTGCTAAACTAACCTAACAGCTATGCACCTGGTGTTTGTGTCCCTTTATTTTAGCACAGTCCCTATTTAGGAGCCAGCAGTTCCACAGAATGTCCCACGTTCTGGATTTTTCTGCCCCTGTCTTCCTGGGGACTCATGGTCATTTCCACCACCCCTCCAGTCCCTGAAACCAGATGCTCCTAAATGCTTGAAACACTCAAGTCCAGCATGGGTAGAATGAAGTTCAACAAGTGCCATACCTCACATAGGGGATAAACAACATCCCAATTATTTCTATTAATGATGCTAACAGCCCTCACTGACTTGGGGGAGGATGGCTGGGTTTTCCATTATTTGGTTTTTATCTTCTTTATGACTAAAAGGCTATCATCTATATTGTTTACTTCGGTGTCATGCAAATCTCTAAATTCTTTTGTAGGAAAATTTTCACTCAGTCACTGGGGCTGTTTGGTTTCACCAAAATAAACTACAGAAAGGTGTAATTCTATCCTTAATTAACCTATTTTCAAAGGATGGAGTTGCTTTAAAAGCCACTTCAAAGAGTGACAAATTGCTGTTTTCCCAGGTACTTCTTATGTTTTTCTAATCTGCTGCCCTCCCAGGCATTCTTGGAGTCTTTCCTGGGTTTGGCAGGACACATGACCATGCTCTCAGCTAGCAGTCCCAGTTTCAAATCCTGATTCAGAGGCCACCTCCATGACAACCCCAAGGAGCTTTGGATGTGCCTCTGATGCTGTATTAGAAAGGTCACTACCTCTGGAATAGAGGTGTCTGTGGACCCCAGCCCAGGGGAACCCCATGTCTTCTGCTTCTGGGTTCACCTTGCCTGGGAACTGAAAATGAATGGAACACATTCTGAAGGAACAGTGGCCTAGGAGTTGGAGAGCTGCCACTAAACTAGCCCTGGGAGCTCGTAGGTGGTCATTCAGTGACCAAGAGTAAGTAGGTGGGAGGGATGCGCAGGGCACAGGCTGCTAGGGAAGGAGGGGAAGAAGGAAGAACCCACGGCTTGGAGGGACAGAGAGGGTGGGACGGGATGTGAGGGAAGAGGGTGTGCCTGGCCCTTGCTCCAAACATGACCCTGCCCATTCCCCTCTATCCCGAGCAGCTGTATGTGGCCACCGTGCTGCAAGAGCCAGAGCTGAACCTGAGCCCAGCCTCCTCTCCAGCCCGGCACACTTACGGTACCATGAACAGGCAGCCAGAAGAAGAAGAAGAAGAAGAAGAAGAAGAGAGCAGTTTGAGGGGCTTTGCAAGGGAGCTGGAGTCGGCCCAGTTCCAGGAAGGGCTGGAACTGGAGGGCCAGAGCCAGTACCAATGACCAGCACTCCAGGCAGGGGCAGGGGAGAGCCTGGCAAGGGGAGGTTAAAGGGTGGCCCGGGCCTCCCTGCTCCCTCCTGCAGACTTGGACGCTCCCGACGGAGACATCTGCTGCTCAGCCATAGCCTGGTGGAGGCCCAGCCTGCTGACTGGCTAGGATGGAGGTGCCTGGCGATGCCAATGAGCCCCAGGATGGCATGGAGGCAGCACACACCGCGTCTTGGGAAGGTAGCTGAAGCCCAAGACAGAGACTGAATGGGGTCAAGATGGAGAAGGTGCACATAGGAAGGAGGCAGGAAGAACCCCATGGAATGCTTTCAGGGTCTCCGTCACCCTCGCTCCAGCCCTTTGAGCTGCTGCTGCTGCTACTCTGGCCCCCAGGGCTCCCTGTGGTCTGAGAAGCAAAGGTACGTGTTCTGGGCCTCATCACTAAGTCACAAGTGACTATCTCTTCCCAAGTTTTCCTGCGGGAAAACTGTAAAGGAGTCTTTGCACCCTAGCCTCCAAGCAAGGGGCAGCTAAGAAGAGGTGACTGAGCCCCTTCTGCCCTCATCTTATGTCCCCAAGCCCAGCAAGGCAGAGACCCTTCTCTCTCCTCTTACAAGGGTGGCCAGGACCCAGCCACTTGAGGTCATTAAACAAGACCTGAATTATAGTGAAGGAACCATGGCAAGTTCTTGCTGGTTACTGTAAGGTGGGACAGGACAGAGACAGTACTCAGGGTGGGGGCCTCTCCCCAAAAGTCTGAGTGGTGGGAAACCAGATACACTTCCCAAACCCTAGAGCTGATGAAAAGATCCCAAAGCCAGGGAGGGGACAATAAGCTTCCCTTTCCCCCTTGTCAGTGCTGGGCCTCAGCTCGGCCAAGGTGGGTGGCAGCGAAGGGTAAGAAACCCAGGCTCTGAGCTGAAGGATCTGGCCATTCCCTGCCACCCAAGTAGGAACTTTCCTTGCCTCTCTACATCCTCCCTAAGGGTCACCTAAGAGGCCTCCGGAGGTCCCTGACTTCCCACAGTGACATCAACCCGGGGGCTGGGGGTGGGGTGATGGGTGTTTCCCATGGAGAAACCCTTCCTAGTGGGGCTGCCCTGGGAGGGCAGCCTCCACCTGAGGCCTGGAGAGGCTGAATCCTGAACAGTGCTGGTGATTCTCAGCACCTCTGCTGTGGCCAGGTGACATCTGCCACTGCCTCTTGGGATAGGCTGCTATCAGGACCCAGTGCAGCCTACCCAGGGCGGACATGGAGAAAGGGTCAAGTTCCATGGAGTCTTCAAGTTCCTGAGTCTCCTGTAGCCCCTTCTCAGAGGTCTGGGTTACTCCCTGCCACTGGCGCAGCTGGCTCAGCGCCCCTCACCTCAGAGTCTCTACCAGGAACACATGGCCCTGAGGGCGGGGCACCTAGGCCCTGCCCTGCTCCACCTTTTCCACATCCCAACCCCAGCAGCTCCACACTTCAGCCCAGCTGAGAAGTAGTTGCTCAAAGGCCATTTGGTGCCGTGGCCCTCAGGGCTTGGGTTGAATTTTGCCACGGGGATTTTTCCAGAAAACCTGGGTCAGCTGGGAAGGAGGCCGGCTTCCATTCCTGACCCAGCTTGGAATAAGAGGGAAATTACACCCAGCCAAACCCTTACACACCAGTTCCCAAGGGTCCTCTCCCCCTGACATTAAAGCCACAAGGGCAAGGGACCCTTTTGTAGCTGAGTGACCAGGCCCAGCTCTGACCAAAGTGGGAATAAAGTAGGCCGTGCCCAACCCTGTAGGGCATATTTGGTATGTAGGGGTTTGAGGGTCTGCCAAAGCTGGCCTGGGGCCTCTCCTTCCCTGGGCACCACTTGTTGGCACCTGTCCCCAGTCCTGCTGGTCCTGCCCCCGACTCTGGGCAGCCTGTGGCAGTTACATACGGAAAGGGTCCCACAGGCAACATGGCAGGATGGCTTGGTGCTCCCTCTCTGAATCTGGGTCAAGTGCAGCCTGGTTCTGGCGTGAATAATGGGAAAGTGCCAGTCTCCACTTGCTTCTCCCCTCTTCCTGGAGGCCTAGGCTCACAGGCAAGGCCCTGCCCAGCCGGCTGTGCCTCATCTCCCATGGTCACTGGGGATGTGGGGGTCATCCTTTAGCTCCCCACATTCACCCACATCCAGGCCCTCCCAGGGCACCTCTGCACCTGCCTGCTCCCCTAGCTCATTCCTGTCTCTCCTGTTGGCCTCTGCCTACCGCCACCCACCCTCCCTACCCCTTCCACCCTCTTGGCCCTTTATGGAGGGAGCTGCTTCTTGGAGGAGCTTATATGGCCTGGCCCCCTGGAGGGGCCCTCCCCAGGCCCTGAGCAGCCCCAGCCTTGCCTGCCTGTCCCTCAGCTGCCTCTGGAAGCAAAGTGCCTATCAGCAGCATTGCATCCTCTGGGGCCCCTGGAGGGGTTGTGGACTGACCTTGGCCACCACCACTAAAGGAATGTGCCAGAATGCTGAACCTTCTTGTTATCAACGCTGTGACTGTGCCTTGAATAAACAAGTCCTCCCAACCTCAGCCAGCCTGCGCCTCTGCATCTGAAGCCACCAGGCTCAGGTGCCACACTTCACCGTGTAGCTTTTGTTGCTGGGGCCAGAGCTGCTCCTTCTGAGATCCTCTCAACCCTGAGGCCTCCCCTGGCCCTGTCCAGATGGCAGAAGGCAAGTGTCGCCTGGTCTGCTGCAGAGGGGAGGTGACTCTGCTATGCCACAGGTGAGAACCTTCAGAGCCCTGTGAGACAGTGACTGACCTAGGCCAGTGCCTGAGGAGGCCCCAGAAATACCAGCAGATGGGGCTTAGATCTGTGCTGACAGGGACAGGAAAGTCAAGGAGAGGGCGGGCATCAGGGAGGTGCATGGGCAGCCAGGTCAGGAGAGAGCAAGACAGGAAATGAGGCGGCGATAAAAGTTCCCTGCCCCAGGGACAAGTCTCTGGGTTAGGAGACCCATGTTCCAGCCTTTACTCCGGCCAGCTGGGTGCCCCAGCGCCGGTCAGCTCATCCAGAAAGTAGGGGTGGTGAGGTAGGACCGTAGTTCAATGGAACAGCACTTTCCTAGCATGCATGAGACCTTGGGTTCAGTCCCCCGAAACAGGGTAGGGGACATGAGGGTGATGCTCTGCCCTGTTATTGAACAGAACAGATTCTGCTGGGGTGGAGGACAGGTGTGTGTTAAAGAGGGGGAGGCCTCCTCCCCTACTGCTGCTCCCTGTCGGGACAGAGGATGAGTTAGGGCAGCTGCTTAGGGACTGCTGAGGGACTGCTGGACACCACCACCCTTCCTCAGCCTTCCCTTTAATCTTCATAGTCCATCAGTCATGCATGGGGACAGGGCCCATCGTCTTGTCGCCGTCTCTCAAAACAATTATTTTCCAAGGCAAGCTGGATGTGATCCACCAGGGCTGCTCAGAGGAGAGAGAGGTTGTGAGGTCCCCCTGCCTGGGCAGGAGGGCTGCAGCCTACAGCCTGGGCTGGGTGGGCTTGTGGCTGCTACAGGAAAGGGACTTTCCCAGGGTCCACAATGCATCCTAGTAGCTGCCTCGTGGGGTCTTCTCCCGGAGGCCTGCAGACTCCATTCAGGGTCCCCCAGGTGGCAGCCCCTGGACCACTCCTTGATTCAGCAGCAGGGACTTGGCTCAGGAAGAGACAGGGACCAGAAGGCAGACTGACAAAGAAGCTGAAGCGCCTGGGGTGAGGGGCTGGCCGACCCTCCCTCCACCCAGAGGGAAGGAAGGGCTGGAGCCCAAAAGTGTGCTGTGCCCCTGGGACTGGGGCAGGCAAGGGGAGCTTGTGGCGCTGGAGGGCCTGGATGCTGGCCCCTGTCTGTGTCCATGAGGACCTTGGCATGTCTGACCCAGGACCACACTGGCCCCACCAGGCCTAGGAGGAAGCAGGAGGTTGCTCCCTTGAGGCAGTTCCCAATGAGCTGGAGGCATATCCAGAAGAACGTCCTTGTTGCCCCAGCCACAGGTTCATAGGTCACTGTGTAGAAGGCCCAGGGTGGGCTGGGGGAACCTGGGGCGTGGGAAGAAGCTCCCAGGTTTGCCCAACTGAACATCTGACTGTCTTAGCCTTGACATCCCACGGCCGAGCACCGTGCAAGCCTCAGCTTCTTGGCTGTCCATCCCAGCAGCAGCAGAAGTCTCCTGAGAAACATCAACCCCTCCCACTCTCAGATCCCAGCCCTGAATAAGCTAAAGCTTCTGGGATGGTGTCCGGTCACCTCTATGTTACAGGTGACTGGTGTTCAGGGAGGAAAACAAGCCCAGACTCGGGTACGACAGGGACTCCAAGGGGAGGCCCCAGCATCTCACCCAGCTCGGGCTCCTAAGTGACGAGCACCCAGCTTGGGCGAAGCTTCTGGTGTCATGGTCTGTCACTGCATACATATGTTTGGACCAGAGATCACACTCAGGCCCGGGGGGGCCTCTGCCTCCCTTGTCACCTTTGGAAACACTGTGAAGAATCCGCTCTTTGCTCCCGTCCAAACACAGAGCCTAAGGTGGCTTTCATGACAGCCTGGTCATTTCTATGCCACTGAAGGCTCCGAGTGCAATAAACATGAATTATATAATGAGATGCCAAGCAGGACGGGTGCTTTGGAGAAAGCACAAAGTATCGTGAGGGCAGGGGAATGACAGGAGAGAGGGGTCCCTGGAGGAACCAGGATGAGCTCCATGGGACGAGATACGGAGGAGTCTGGGGAGCGTGGGGACAAATGTGAGATCCAAAGAACAGCCAGGCCGCCAGTGTGGCCAGAGCGTAGTCAGGAAGAGAGAGGACAAGGCAGGACTGAGGGCGTCAGGGCTTTTTAGGGTCCTTTAGGACCTGGTCTTACCCTTATGAAAAGCTATTGGAGGATTCTGAGTACAGGGGTTGTATGATCCTAGTGTATTTTTCAAAATTTTAAGTTGTAAAATACATGTTATGGCCCCCAGCGCCTCACGTGTTTGGAAGATGACGGGATGACTGGGCATTATAGCTGACTTCTTATTAGGTGCCAGGGTCTGGTCAGAAGAAGCAGGCCATTGGGGGTGTGAGATGGAAGGTTTATCTCCCTCCTGGCTCCTCCCCTCACATTCTGCTTTCTGAATGCCATGATCTGAGCAGCTTCTCCTCTGCCAGGCCCCTCTGCCATGCTGCCCTGCCTTGGAGCCAGCTAACCATGGACTAAAAACAGGAGCCAAAATAAACCTGTCTTCCTTTAATTTGTTGTTGTCGAGTATTGAGTCCCAGTAATAATAAAGTGACTAAGACACTACACAAAACATAAAATCTGGTTCCGCCGCCTGCCTCAGAAGCGGAAGGACCTGAGTTTGATCCCTGGTACCAAAAAAAACACCCACTCTAACATGCAGCCATTACTCATGCTCATCTCCGCTTTCCATCTTGGAAATCTGAGGCTCTGCGCCCATTCATGACTCCCCGCCCAGTTACTGCCCCCAGCCCCAGGAACTGTCAGTGCCTTATGCGTGGAGGCAACTGTGATGGCGAGAGTGGATGATAGGAGGTATCAAGAGAGAAGCTATGGTAGCTTGAAGCAGGATCAGGCCAAGAATGAGGAGAGAAGTGGTTGAATTTGCCACAGAGGCTGAGGGTGCATGCCTGGATTAGATGTGGGTCCTGAGCAAGAGCAAGAGGGGAAGGGGCTCCCAGCTCTTCAGTCTGAACAGCTCGGTCAACAGTGGGGTAGAGGTAAAGAGAGCTGGAAGGAGCAGATCTGGGAAAATGCCAGCAGTCCCATGGGTCATGTTATACGGGGAGGCGAGGGGGTAGCTGGAGACCTAAGTCTCAGGGTCACCAGCATCTGGACTGTGTTTAGAACAAGTCACCGAAGGGAGCAAGGAGGAAGCTGAGGGCTGAGCAGACATGGAGAGGAGAGGAGGATTCCCAGGGAGCTGCAGCAAGGACCCGGAGCACCAGGAGGGGCTGGCAGGGAAGGAGGGATCCCCCACACCCTGGGTCCACCCACCCTTTGCAGTAACTATACAGGAATGAGCTTCAACACGCCACAAAGCAGCAGCAGTCAAGAACACTGGACATGCCACAGACAAGTAACCTGGTGTCTCCCATGAACAGGAGATGGGAAAAAGGGAGAGGGGCTACTATAGGCTGAAAGATTTAAGAGACACAGCCAGACACAAAGTGTGGGCCCTGTTTGAGTTCATACATAAAATGAAGTGTCTAGAAATCCATAAGGAAGAACTCAGAGGTGAAACAACATCTTGCTTTAAAACGCTCCAGGAAAAAAAAAGTGGGGGAAGGGAATCATGAATGGTTCTTTGTTGATGCTGGGTGGAGTATGTGGAAATTATCTCTGGATTTTTGTGTATGTTAGCATTTTCCATAATAAAACATTTAAACATAAAGGATTGATCACCTCCTTCAGGGTGAGCACCAAGATGTGAGCCCTGCCTTTGGCAAGTAGGAGGTCATTGGTGACTTGGACCATAGCAGATGGAGTGGGGACAAAGCTTGGTTGAAATAGGTTCCCATTCTCTCCCAGGAAGTGAGGAAGTGAAGACAGTGGCTGAGTATAGCTGCAGAGGGAGGGGAGAGGCCATTCTGTGTGTTAAGAGGGAGACATGGCCCGTGGAACGAAGTGGCACAGTGGCTTTGGGGAGGTGAAAGCACGGGGTAGCTCAGGACATGGGTCAGAGTGAGTATCTGCCCTTTACCAAGCCAGGTCCTCCCCCTGCCCCAGTCCCACTCTCTGGCCCACCAACCTGTGGGCTCCTAAACCTCTGACCCACGGACCACTGCACACCACGGCTTAGAAGGGCTGTGTGTCGTAGCTGACCACCCCCTCAATGGAGAATGGTGAAACTGTGAAGGAAGTGTGTGTCGCTCTGGTGTCAAACTCTGCAGGGTGACCCTGAGACATGGGTGGCCTCCTCCCAGCGGCAGCTCAGGGTTGGGCTCCTTTAACCCCATGACACTGTCATATTCAGCACATGGCCCTCCAGGTCACAGTGAAGTCCGCATCAAGCCAGCTGTGGATGGCAGAGCATGCAGGAGCATGTGGGAGTTTGTGGGAGGGCAGGGCTGGAAATGGCACACACAGTCCCACAGTCCCCTGGCCAGAACTGTCCCCTGTTCCACCTAATTGCAAGGAAGCCTGGGCAGTGTTGTCCAACTATGTGACAAGAAAGAAAGGGGAATTGGGTTTGGTGGCCTTCAGTCCAGCTTGGGGGCAGACTCTTAACTCCACCTCCACAACTGCCTTCCTGCCTCCCTAGGCTGTTCCCTTCTTTCCCACCTGCTCTGGCCTTGGTCCACTGATCCTGTCTTCCTCCTGGCCTGGAATGCACTGTCCTGCAGCTTCCTTTGGCACAGGCCAAGACCCAAGAAAAGGCCAGTCCTGGACAGTCAGCGGCACACAGAATAGGTTTATTCCTCGTGAGTTTATAGAGCCACAGCACAGAGCAAATGCAGTGCAGGGAGTGGGCCGAGGGCCTTTCCTGCTGCTTTCTCACCTGCCCATCTGCCCACGGATGGGCATGCGTGGGTGATGGACAGAAGCTGTGGGCCCACAGCCCAAGCAGGAAGCAGAAAGGGGTGCAGAGGTAAGACGCAGCCCTGCAGGGTGGGGTGGTAAGGAAGAGCCTGGGACTCAGGTCTCTCTGGGATGAGGTCGCCCCCTCCATCCTGACAGCTCAGGTCCTGTGGGCAATATGGGGGAGCTCCCACTAGAAGCCCTGAGTGAGGACTCCTCGGCTCCTGACCTGCCGCCGCCTTCCCTCACCTTGACCCAGCTCACCCAAGAAGAGCCCTGTGCTCTCAACACACCCCCTTCCCTGTTCCATGCCACCTCGGGCACCAGAAGTGCTCTTCCTCAAGGCTAACAGGGATACCAGAGGTACAGAGGCATGCAGGAAAGAGGCCATGGGGAAGAGAGGAACCCAGAAGTTCCTTCTGCAGTTCTGGGGTTGGGGGAGCTGAGACTCAGCCCTGCTCCATCGCCTTTCCAGAATGATGGAGGGGACAAGAAGCAGGGAGGCCTAGGAAAACCTGGGCTATATTGGACACAGACAGACAGACAGACACAGACAGCTGGGGGCCGCCGGGCAGGGGTCGCCTCTTACTCGCCGTCCCAGCCTCGACTCATGGCCTGCACCACGGCCCCGTACAGCTGGCTCCAGGCAGCCCGCGTGGCTGCAGTGAAGGCGGGGCCCAGGCACCTCTCCAGCATGTAGAGCAGGGATTCGCCCACCGTCTGCAGAGGCAAGGGGCACCCGATCATCCCTGAGGCAGGAAAACATCACTCCCTTCCACAGGGGAGAAAACTGGGGCCTAGACTCCTGGGCCTGCCTTCGCTCTTTCATTTGTGCTTCCTGGGCAGCGTCCTACCCTGATCCTTGGGTACCACCTGTGCCACTGTCTTCCCTACGTGTGAGGCTCTACAGTGAACAAAGCATTGCACCCCACTAGCTTTGGAACCACCCCTCAGTGCTCAGACCAAACCAGGGCCTTGTCTCTGAGTGTCGGTTTCCTTACTCTTGAGGCAGCAGTAATAGAGTTAAGAGCCAGGCTCTAGACCTGACTTCAGACTCTGACCACCATTTATGAACTCGGTGGCCTTGAACAAGTTATTTAACCTCTCTGAGTCTCATTAGCAAAATAGGGAGAGCAGGCCGAGGATTTAGCTCAGTGGTGCCTCCACCTGCCTTGCCAGCACAAGGTCCTGAGTTTGATCCCCAGTACCAAAATAAATAAATAAAAATAAAAGACAAGAAAAATAGGAAGAGTAAAAGTTCCAAATCTTGGGCTTTCTGGGAGATTCAATGGCATAATCTATTACAAGGTCTCAGCATGGGATCTGCATACACTGACCCTTCAGTGATAATAATGCTCTCATCTATTCATTAGGTAAATAAAATAAGGTTTATGTATGTCATAAATATTTACTGAACAGTCCCTAAAGACTAGGCTGGAAGAGACCAACACTATCCCTTCCCCAAATGCTTCCTTTTTGACAAGGAAGGTGATTAGGCTACTAGGCAGAATGTCACGTCAGCAGCCCCCAGTGAACCCTGCTTCAAGGATTCCTAAGTAGTATCCTCCCACCCCAATGCTGGACTCATCTGCATGACTGGCCCTGGCCAGTGAGACATCAACAGGAATGAGGCAAGCAGAGGCTCTCTGAGCACATGCACACTGGGGCTGTTCTCTCAGGACTCAGCCGCCCTGGGAAGATGCTTAGCTGGGCTGCTGCATGGTAAGAAGTCATGGAGGTAGACATGCCAGCCCCACCTGCGCTCCTGGGTGGACACAACATATGGGTGACTCTGACCATGCCGCATGGAGCAGAAGAACTGTCCAGCTGAGCCCAGCCATGAGAAATCAAAAATGGTCATCTTAAGGCAGTACATTTTGGGGGTGTGTGATGCCAGCCTTAGAAAGCTAAGCAGACTAGTTAATCCCAAAGGCTCCTACACTTTTGTGATCTAAAAGACACCATACAGAGGAGAGAACTGTTACCCACCGAGAAGGAGCTGAGCTTCACACCCACTGCTTGGTGCTTCTTGCCCAAGCCAGCGAGGTACTCCTCCAGCGAGGACAAGTCCTCCACATTGGTCACTGCCGCGTCGATCACAAGCATCACCTGCCAAGGCCAAGGCAGCAGTGATGCAGAGAGGCCGGGGCCACCTCAGCTGCTCACAACCCCAGCCCAGAACCTGAGGGTCCTAACCAGAGGGAAAAGAGTCTTGCAAGACCCTCAGTCTTCCAGGATTGGAGCGGAAAAACAGCCTATGGCTGCATACAGTAGGCACCTAACTATTGCCCCTCTCCTCTGAGGGTCTCAAACCCCTCAACACACCTGCTGGATAGGTGAGCAGACATTGGGGCTGTGAGAGTCACAAAGCTCTAAAAAAACCTCAGCCTGGTGTCAGGCAGGTGCCCCAGGAACCAGAATGATGCCAATATAACCCACGGGGGCCAGCGGACAAGGCCAGGGGCAATGACAGAGGCTGAGACCAGCACAGGGTCAGGGAGGAGGCCGGCTCTGGTGTCTCTGAGGGAAAGGAGAGGATGTCCCGCCAGGCCCGGGGCAGAAGTCATTTTCCTTATCTCCAGCCCCTCCTCCTCTCTGCTGGATCCCAGAGGCCACAGTGACTCCCCTCACCTTCCTGATGTGGTCCAGAAACTCTGGGGAGGAGAGGCAGTCTTCGGGGCTGGAGAACTGGCGGCCCTCGTACTTGAAGAGGGGCAGCAGGTCGGGCTCCAGGGAAAACAGCCTGCAGGACAGGGGCAAAGGTCGGCAGGAGGTGGAGGCTGAGCACAGCAAATCCTCAGGACCCTGGCTGTAGCAGTAACCACAGCATACACTCACCCCGGCGCTGCCAGCTTTGCCAGTGCCCTCCTCATCCCTTCCCAGGCTCCAAGAAAGACGCGTCCTCAGGCCTCTTGCAGCAACTGGTGTACAGTAACCCTGCCTATAATACTTGAGGGGTGTAGTTTGGGACCTGCAGGAGTCCTCAAGCAGGAAACCTGGAGTTATACTGGGGGAGGAGAAAGCCCTGTCTTTTCTCCTTAGGTGAAAACTTGTTGGTCTCCTCGAGTCAGAGGAGGCTCCACCCAGTGATGATGATAATATCAAGAATAAACCCTGCGGGTGTAGTGGTATAAACCTGCAATCCTGGCACTTTGGGAGGCTGAGACAGAAGGATTGAAAATTCAAGCATGAGCAAGTTAGTGACTTAGTGAGATCCTGTCTCAAGAAAATAAAAAAGGGCTGAGGATGTAGCTCTATGCAAAGGCCATGGGTTCAATCACCAATACTGAAAAAAGAGCTGGGGATTTAGCTCAGTGGTGCCTCACCAGCCTTGCAAGTGCAAGGTCCTAAAGTCCTGAGTTTGATCCTCAGTACCGCAAAAAAGAAAAGAAAGAATCTCCAATACTGGAAAAAACCAAAACAAAACAACAAACGCCTCTTTACACTTACCAGTACTCCGCAAGTGGTTACCAGTACTCCTCAAGTTGTACTCGTATATATTTACCAAGCAGTTGGTACAACAGTTATCACAATTTTACCAAGGAGGAAATGGAAACCCAGACAGGCTTAACAAGGGGTCTAGGGTCTCACAGGGTGAACGTAGAGGAACTATAGTGGACAGAAGCCACAGGGAAAGGTGAGTTTAGGAAAAGCCAAGAGGCACAGCCAGAAGCTGTCAGACCCTGTGCAGAGGGCTCAAGTTTTTGTGTGATTCTGACTGCTCTGTATGATTCTGTCCTGGGGGAGATTTTGCAAAAGCCCAGTCAGAAGTTCGGGACTGGTCTAGGGAGGAAGAGGGGGGCTGTTGCCCGTCAGTGAGGACAGTGGGTTACCGAGAGAGCCCCGAGGTGAGGCTGGAAACTGGCCTCTCTTACCGCTCTTCGGGGGAGACTTGGGTGACTTGTCATCCCTTCCCTGGCGGTTATCTGGTCTTGGCGCACTCTGCACGCCCGACCCTCGGAGCCTCTCAGTCTCCCGGTGAGGGCAGCGCTGGGCAGCCCCACAGTCGCCACCGAGGTACGCGCAGGACCACAGGACCAAGGAGGGGGCGCGGAGCGGGACCAGTGTCCCACTGCCCAGGGGTGCGCACGGGGGACCCCCGTCTGCCCCAGCGAGCCCAATCGGGAGCAAGGCATGCGGCGCTGGTTGCCCACGGCCGGGAGAGCGGCAGAAAGGGCTGCGCCACCCGTCCCCGCGCGCACCCAGCTGCTCTGGCGCACATCTGGCAGTTGCCCCTGCACCACCGCGGCGGCCAGGTTTCCCTCCTGTGTCAGTGCAGCCGCCTCGAACCCGTTCGGGGCTGGGCGCCCTCCACCCTCACCCCCGGGGCTCTCGGGCAGCCCTCACCTGGCGAACAGGACGGTGCCATGCTCCAGCGGGCTGCGGTTCACTGCCCGCCAGCTTTGCCGGATCAGCTCGGGCTCCGGGCGCTCCATGCTCTCCCTGGGACGCGGGTCGCAGGCCTGGGACCCTCGGGGCGCGGGGGCCGTCATTGCACGTGCAGCGCCATCTCTGCGGCGACGCGGACCCCTCTGCACCCCCAACAGCCCCCGTGCCTCCGCCGGGCGGTGCCCAGCAACGGCTCCTTCCCTAGCCGGCGCTGAGAGAAGACAGACGCGGCCCGCCCTAGGTGGAGGCAACCCCTCCGTGCCAGCCCTGCTGCCGCTTCTGGAGACCCCGCTCGGGCTGCTGCGCCCTACTCCCCGCCGCTCGGAGAGCCGCCCTTTAAAGCAACCGCGGCTCCCACCCACTCCGGTCCAGCAAGGCGCGCGCTCCCTCTGCAGCCGCCTGGGCTGGGGACGACCTGGAGGCCTGGGAAACGCTCAGGCTTCAGAGCTTAAAAGAAATCGTCGAGCCCCTCTGTGTCTTGATTTCTCACTAGTTTCTTGAAAAGTAGTGATCTTTCCCTCCCTGGAAGGATCAGGTGCACAGAGGGTACTGTGCTGAATTTGATCACCCCACTCCAACACAGCGTGGAGAGTTTAGACGTTGCTACCTTCTGGGCAGTTGGTCTCTGTTCAAATCGTGCCCGATTGCTGTTTCTTTCCTCTCTGAGGTTCAGTCAGCGGACATTAGGTCACCTACCTGTGGACCAGGCAGAAGGAGGTGGGGATAGAGAGAGGCTCTGCCCAGGCTCTGGGTCTGACTGGGGCACCCGCAGCCTTAGGGGCAACAGGGCCTCCTGGCTGAGGGACAGAGCCCAGGCCACAGCCATTTCCAGCCTGGACCTGGGTTTTCCTGAGACCCCAGTTTCGGAAATCTGTGAGGTCCGGCTCCAAACCCAGCCCTGCCTGGCCTAGGTGGAATCTGAGGATGGATGCAGTCGATGTGTGGGCTGTACTACCTATACATGCAAAGAGCTAAGCTCTACCATTCCATTAGTCCATGATTTACTAAAAATCATGGCTTTTTAAAATAAAAAGTAGAAGTATTATTTACTTTTTAAAATAGAAGACTCATGCCTACCACGCAGGGTGTGGTGCTGGCCACCTGGCAATCGGAACTAGACTTCTTTCCAGTGTGAAGGTTCTTTGGCCCCAGTCTAGTTCCAGTGGCCCAGATTTTGGAGAGCAAGCCCATTTCACCCTCATTTTATCATTCATTATTTTTGAGTCTCTGAGCCTCTCTCAACCTGCCCACTTCTCTCTGGGCCTCAGTTTCTTCAGCTGTACCAAAAGGCAATTGGGTGGTAAGGTCTCTAAAGGCCTTTCAGTCTCCCATCTTTGGTTCCAAGGATACAAGGTGGTGTCACTGGTCCACATGGGTTGTGAACAGGCTGTGGCCCCTAGCCAGCCTTGTTCTGAGTCCTTCCCTTTTACAACTTCTGGCACTGAGTCAGGACTGGTGCCTCAGTTCTGCTTCGGGCCAAGTCCCATGAAACCATCTAAGCTGCTATGCCTCTTCCAAGGACAGGGTCTGGGTATACTCTATTCTACTCTCCCCCAGCTCCCCACATATCTCTGGGTCCCTGGGCTGGAGCAGGAGACCAAGACTTTGGGGCAGTCTGGCAAACCTGAGTCCTAAGACTCTGAGAGGTCCCCAAACAAAAGCACAAAGGGATGGGGCTGAAGGGAAAAGGCAACAGTGTACATCCAGGATGTTTCTTGCCTCCATTCCCCGTTGGACTGGGTCTATGGTCTGATGAGTTTGTGGGAGGTAATGGCCTTAGCTAGTTGAGTGTAAAGTCACCACTCAAACCCATAGCTTCCCTCTGCCTTCCTAGAGCCAAAAGGCAGCAGGAGAGGTGAAAGTGCACTCTGACCCAGGTCCCCTCGGAGAAGGGCTTCAGGATCAGGTGTAGCCTAAGTGTCCCAACCAACAGACAGAGGGCCCACTTGTGAAGGGCTGGAGGTCACAGGAGCTCTTCCTCTTGTATGTGCCAGACATGTGCAGGAGGCTTTAACATAAATAGGAGGGAGTTCCATGCTGTTCAAAACAGTGCTGTTGCTCAGGCCAGCACATCATTAATGGCAGTGAAGAGCTGGCACTGATTGGGCATTTGCATGCTGACACCAGGTCCATTAGCTCTTTGCATCCTCACAGCAGCCCTTTGAAGTAGACATGATTATACCCTCATCTGGCAGCTGAGAAAAGAGGCAGTGAATTTAATTAACTGGATCAAGGTCACAGTTGATAAGTGGCAGGGCAGGATTTGAATTCAGGTTTGATCCTCTGGCTCATGCTCTCTACTGTCCCCCTCACTTTATTTGGGGTTTTGAAACAGGGTCTATGTGGTGGGCATAGGGTGGCCTTGAACACGTTATGTAGCTCAGGGTGACCTCAAACTCACAGCAATCTTGCCTCAGCCTCCTGAGCGCTGGCATTACAGGTGTGTGCCACCACACTCGGCTTTCCCTCATTTTAATGTTCCATGACCATTAGCTGTGTCCACATACAGGCCAAGCCAAGGTCACTAGGTCCGGGTCAGTGGCATGCTGGTGCCAGCTCTTGTGAGGCTTGCAAGAGCCAATGGTATGCATAAAAGTGTCACTCGGGGACATCAAGTAGGTAGCTTGAAATAGGCCATGGAAAGTATTTACACCAAAGAAATGGGCAAATGCTATATATCAAGGTTGCCTGAGTTTTTGTTTTCCACCCACAGAAACCCTGTTGTTAATTAAACATCTATGGTCAGTGATCAGGGTGACCTGAGGAGCCAGGAAACACTGCCCCGGCCGAGCTGAGGTCGATGCATGACGCAGAACATGTAATGCAGCAGGCTGAGTCGGGACACTTACCTCAGCATCTGGAGACTCCAGGGTGCTCTAGGAGGCACCTCTAGTTCCAGGACCACATGGGAAGAGATGCAAAAGGGTCGCCCGGTGCTGCAGACTGCCTCTATTCTAACTGTAGGAACTTGGGTAAGTAATGTATTCTCTCAATGGCAGAATGGAAACAAAAACGACCGACTTCACTGGGCCTTTATGAGGATTCAATGTCAGAGCTGTGTCAAGATCCTGCAAACTGGGCCATGTATTCAAAGAGTGTCTGGTTGGTTTCTGAGGATCTGCGTATCCCCAGCCTGCCTCCAGCCACTCCTGGCACTGAGCAGAGCAGTGAGGTGGCCAGATGAGCCCAACTTCACAGTGAACTGCTGTTCCCCTCCTGCCGCACTTGGGCCCCACACTCAAGTAGCCCTCACCTCCCTCAGATCCCTGAGGCCATTCCTGATGACAGGGGACCCTGTCAGAATGGGGGCCTCTGCTAGGCAGAATGGCCCATTCCCACAGTGCTGGCCACTCAGCTCTCAGAAGTGGACAGATTGGCTCCTTCGCTCCTTTCTATACTATCTGGGTAGGATAAAGAAAAAAATATGAGGTCCACATTTTCCCACTGATTTTAGAGTAAGTAAATTGAAATAGCCACCACTATTACTCCAGTAACTACATGGGAAGGCCCAAAGTCCTGGCATTATGCTCATCTGCCCAGCCAGAGCCTCCACTGTGATCAGAATGGCCGCAGACATGAGGCTCGATGGAAAGGCTCCCACCCTCCAAACATTCTTCTGTTCTAAAGGAGGCCTCTCTGGGAGCAGACAGCAAGTCAGATTCAATTAAATACAACAAGAACATGTCATTCAAAACAAGAGCTATTTATTACAAAAGTAACCGGCCTCCAATTATCTCTGGAAACCATTTTTTAAAAAATAAAATGTGGCTCAAGGTGCTGGCTGGAGACTGTGCTGCCTGACAATTTCTTCCTCCCCTAGCAGTTTGTGGGACATGTCACATTTCTGCAAATTCTGGAGGGCTGCAGCCCATATTCAGAGCAGCAACCTGCCAGCCTCTCTCCCCAGCACCTTCAAATGACAAAAACCGAGCACACAGAGCAGCATCACCCGATGTATCCTTGTCCCCAGAGAAGTGTCTGGCAACTTGGGCATGGAGGAAGGAGTGGTAAGTTCTCTCTCTTCCATTCTTAAAAAGCAGTAGAAGAAGCTCTTGTCCCCAGTATGGTCAATCAGAAGGGAAGGGGGTGGGGGAGAGCTGGCCAAGCCCTCTTTCCTCACCCTTCTGGAGGCTGCCCCTGCTGACTCCTTTAGAGCCCCTCCCTCCAACAGGTTCCTCTTGGGAAATGAGAAGGCACAAAAGAAAATCAGCCACCCCTGGGATGTCATCGTGCACCACCTTCTTTGCTAAGAGCCACGCACAGATTCCAGCATCCTACCCCTAAGAGAGCCCATCCAGATGGTCCCCACCCAGCTCAGAAGAAAACAACTCTGCCTGTGGGTAGGTAGGAAGGCTGGGGAAGAGATGGGTGTACACAGAGCTTCTCCATTTCTGCTGTTCCTCCTCGCCAGAAATGCAATTAAGCAAGCAGCCCAGACTCAGCACACAGGCGGCACTTCCTGCTGGGGGAAGTCAGAAAGGCTGCAGCACTGGGAGAGGGAGGTCATGGGCCTCAGATCTAATTAACCGCCCTGCCTTATTTTTCACGAGGCTGCATTTCCTTTATTAACATTAATGGTCTAAATGTCCAAGCATGGCCCAGAAGCTTCCCTCCTCACCACTCAATAGGTAGCACAGCCTGTCCCTGACACCAATTTCCAGTCTCCGTGGCAACCGCCTCCTGGAGATGCTTTAAAGAGCTCTGACCCTGTCAGAGTTGTTGGGAGCTGCAACAGAAGGAATATGGAGTGTGGCAGAAATTAATCATTAAACCGTGAAGCATCAAAGTCCTCTGAGACAAAATGAACATTCTGTCCTGTCCTGAGAGGAAGGAGACATGTCCTGCAGTGAAGGGCTGGCCCTGGGTCGGACTGGTTCTGACCCAGAAGTTTTCTTAATCCCGCCAGGGAGGACGTGGAAGAAGCAGCTCTGAGCTCCTTGTTTGTGCTTCACAGTAGCAGACAGTAGAAGCTGTCATGTATCTCTAGGAGCTCTGGTCTTTGGGGAAAAGAGACTGGTGCAGCAGTGACAGAGAAAGGGGATACCAATGGAGTGAAGGGAATGTCAGCAGGGGAAGGCAGAAGTGAAACTGGCATCCCAGCAGGGGACAGGACCACTAGTCCAGACAGTCCAGAGTACCCCACACCTTGGCATCCTGCTGGGATCCCAGCCTGGTGCCACAAAGTCCCTGCTCTGACTCTCATCTGCTTCCACTGTTCAGATCCCCAGAGGGTCTCCCAGCAAGCACAATACATCTGGCTCAGCTCTCATGGTCATGGTGGATGCAGAAGGAAAGAGATGAACAGCAAGAAACAATCTCTGACACACAGGGCCTGGGTACTTGGAGTGGGCAAGGTTAGGAGAGAGTTCCTCTGACCAAGCTCAGTGTGACATTCCCGGAGAACAGAGACAAGGGCTAATGAAAGCCAGCGCCACCTTGCTCCCTGGAGCCCAGTTCTCTGCACAGCACTGGCAGGCAGTCCAACTACCTGTGGCCACAGATAATACCCCACGAAACAGCAGGGGGTAAGTTCTCCAACTCAGGTGCTTGTTCTCCTCAGCTAGATTCTTTTGGTGGTGGGGAGGGTAGCACTGTTTTGATGGTTCCCTCTACTCTGTTCCTGGTGACATCCCAAGGTGGGGTCAGCACTCAGGCCTCTTAGAGATCAGAGAATTTTTTATAGATTTCATAATCCAAAATCAAACCAAATCCAGTATAAAAAAATATCCAAAAACACTACTGTAGCCCTGGACTGTTTCTTAGTGTTTATGACACTTGGCTGTTTAGTCACACGGTCTGTATTCCACAGGGATTTGACAAATGTAACCTCACATACACACTCCCACACTCACAACCACCCTCTTGCACACTCATTCTCCCCTGGGCTGCACACTTAGGGAACCAAGTGGAGAGAGATTCTGTAGGTGCTGTAGACGGGGTTGTGGCTCTGCAGTGCTGGGTCAAATCCTTTTTGCTCCTGGAGCTTGGTGCTAGTAGCGGCAGAATTCTTCTGGTTCCTTAGCTCCCCTGCAGCCAGAAGGGTCCTGGGACTGGTTCCAGAGCTGGCTGCCCCCAGGAAATTCCTGGACCCAGACAGGCGTCCTTGTAATGCTCTCAAAACTCCCACGATTCCAGCCACCTTAGTCCTGCCATTGGACTTCTGGGATCCTGGGCCAGAGGACCAACCATCCCATAAGCCAGGGGGTGGAAGAGGTAGAAGCTGTGAGAAAGAACCAGAGGGAGGCAGTGGGCACTCCAGTACTGCAGCTCCTCCTGCCAGGGCCCATCAGACAGTCGCCACCCCAAAGTCCCCTTCTCTGACGGCACCTTGGCCATCTGAGCACACCACATGGACACACTCTGGTCCAATGGCTTGGGAGATGCTGCCTGAATGGCAAGGAAGGAAAGGGCTCTTCCCAACAGGCCTAGGAGAGGGCCCTGTCTAGGGGTCTGCCTTTGGGCTGCAACATGGGAATTTAATCCTCTTTGGGGGCACAGGGTTACAGATCACAGGCCCCACCACAAGAGCCAGCAACTCTCGACAGGATCTGTGTGCCTTGCCAGAGGTGGGAAGGGGGCTGGAGGTGAGGGGCACAGATTTCTCAAACAACTGTGTCCTTCCAGAAATTCTGCACACACCACCTATATCCCTATTCCCACTCTTCCCTCCCACCCTCTCCCACACCCCATTACAGTAGGGAGCCACTGACTGAAAAGGGGTACCCTTCCAGGTAGATCCTCCCAGCCAAAACTGGGAACCTGGCAGAGGAGATGTAAAGTGATACTCCTGCTTCTACCTGGCTCCTGACTACAAATTAGGGTCACTAGGGGGCGCTCTGAAAATTGTCACTAACTGAGCTCCACTTTGGGCATGGATGAGGCCCAGGTACTGGGACACCTTAAAAGCTTCTCAAATGTGTCCACGGCTGAAGCACCAGTGAGCCCCACTGGAGGGCCATGGAGGGGGATGCACACCTGTAGGCAGCTCCCAGGAGCAGGCTCAGGATTCCCACTGCATGTACAGCCCTGGCCAGGGAAGAGGAGGCTGGGCCCCAGGCGCACAGCCGCAGGAGTGTGTCCCACAGAATGCCTGGTGGACAGAAGAGACAGCAAGTACCAGCCCGTCAGAACAACTCCTGGGGATACAGCAGGAAGGAGCTGCCCCACACCAGGAAGCAGACATTCACCCTCAGCCCTGCTGCTCCATGGCAGCCTCTTCCTCCTCTCCCACCCTGCCTGCCTCCTGCTTTCCCCCCATGTGCAGGTGGGCAGGGCTGACCTGTCAACATGCTGGAGAAGAGCATGGCTGGGAAGTAGTGGTGGAAGTAGAGGATCCGGCCCATCAGGAAGAATGGGAAGTAATGCAGCATCCAGCCAAGCAGCACCTGGCCACCTCCTTGCAGCAGGACCCGAGTCAGCCCTGGGCCAAAAAGCAGCACAGCTCAGTTAGAAGACAGGGAGAGCAGACAGCTTGGCTTCCAGTCTAGCCCTGCTCCTCCCTCTCTGTGGGTGGCCCTTCCTTCCCTCATGGAGACTGACTCAAACAACCCTGTGGCAACTGGAAGAAAAAGACCAACTGGGTCTCTTAAGTCTTGGTCACTACCCTGTCTGGAAAGGTCTCAGCACCATGGCAGGGGCAGTACATGCCAGCAGAGTGCCTGGGGCTGCTGTCTGGGCAGGAGGCACCCAGGCTCTAAAGAAACCATATCCCACACTTCTACAGACAACTGCCCTACCTCTCCCATGTCTGCTGCCACAGACCTCCATAGTACAGATGGGAGAGGTGAAGTCAGAGAGGAGGATGGAGGGGGTAAGGGTATGTCTCTGACTGTTCACACACAGAGCTGCAGGGGCAAAAAGGGCCTGTGGTGAGCTCTCAGACGCTGTAGTCCCTGCCTGGAAGCCAAAGAAACTAGAAGTAGCACCACGATGGAAACCACTGCTATCCCTAGAGGCAGGAGGGATAGTGAAGCTGGGCATGGCGGCCCACATCTATAATCCCAGCCCTCAGAAGGCTGAGGCAGGAGGAGGATCATCCTAAGTTTGAGGCCAGCCTGGGCTACATAGTGAGTTCAAGGCCAGCCTGAACTACACAGTGAGACCCTATCGCAAAAAAAAAAAAAGAAAAAAAAGAAAAGGAGGGACAGTGAGAGAAGATGGGTGATTTCTGCCTATAGCACAGGAGCAAAAGTGAAAGCTCTAAAGTCAGACTGCTTGGGTTTGAACCTCATCACCAGCACTAGCTACAGGTTCTAGGACAAGTCCCTTAATTTCATTGTGCCTCAGTCTCCTAATCCATGCAATGGGGGTAATAATGTCCTCCTCCATAAGGCTGTTGGGAGTGTGTAAAGTGTCAAAAATAGCAATCAGTGTCTGGTGACCGTGGCTTTGAAAGGCAAAAGAGAAGGAAATATAGGGCAGGGAAATCAAGGGATGCCCCACTGTAGCAAGGCCTCACAGTACTGGCACCCCAGCCGCTCAGCAGGGCAGGGAGAGTGCAGGGGACCTGACCTTCCACCTTTGTGGGCAGCTGTGCCCCTCTCTGCATGGCGACAACAATGATGCTTCCCAAGAGGAGGTAGAGGGCAATGCTCACCAGATTCAGCCACCAAACCACCTGCATGGAGACACAAACAGAAGGATGAGAGGAAAGCGACAGCTCTCCCTGGACAAGCGCTCATGGGCTGAGCAGGGATGTACAACACTCAACAACTCACCGGGTTGCCGAGCAGATAGACTCTGAAGTCTGTGTCATTTGCCCCTGAGAAGCGCAGGCCCTGTGGAGCAGAGGACACTCTGAGGATCCTGGGCCAGCTCATCCTCAAATGAGAGGAAGACCAGACACCTTTCACAGACAGGTAGGCCTGGGCAGGAGGCTCAGAAGGTACAAATTCTCCATGAGCTCTCTGGGAACGTAGAGTTAGCATCAGGGCAGGAAACAGAGCCCCTTCTCCGGCCAGCCCATTCCAAGTGAGGCCTCCCCGCAACCACTTCTGCCCCACTTTGTCTCAATGATCTCCTTCTTCACTCCAATTTGTGGGAGGGGCTCTAGCCTCTGGTCCTACCTGGTAATTGATGGGCCAGTGCCAGGGTTTGGATGTGAAGTCATTGTCCTTGGGCTTAAGGCCATTGTTCCCCTGTAGGAAGGTGGTAAAGAAAAGCTAATCAAGATCAAGAGAGATCTAAAGGGCTGACAGCAATATGAGGCTCAGGTCTTTCTGCTATCCAGACAAGTGTCAAGAGGAACCACCCTCTTTCCTCTCCCTCCTTTGCAGGGAAGAATCAGATGCGTATTCATAGCTATTGTTCATCAGCCTACAATAACTGCCTTACTTCCCCAAAACACAAGCCTCCACTTCCCATCAGTCCACTGAGACCATCTCGGCTAGAAACAAAGAAGAGAAAGAGGAATGAGGGACTTGTTTCTCCTGGGCACAGAATACATTCATCTGCCAAGCCAAGGACAAAGTATCAAGAGGGTGGAGGATATAAAAATCAGAGCTTCTTTATCTAATTTCAAACAGAAGAACTGGGCTGGGTGTGGTGGTGCACGCCTGTACTCCCAGCACTAGGGGGGCTGAGGTAGGACTGCTGCAAGTTCGAGGCCAGCCTGGGATACATAGTGATTTCATGGCCATCCTGAACTGCATAGTGAGACTGTCTCAAAAACAACAACCTAAAAACAGAGACTCTGAGGAGTACTTTGACTTAGAAAAGGTTATCTTAGCCTAGTATTCTTAAATTATTTTTTTTCAGTTATTGCCTCTCCCCTGCTCAGAGCTTTTTTAGACATTTTCTCTAAATGCCTTCCATGTCATTTTAATACCGCGGTCACACTACACAACTCCTTCTGTACTATACAAGACCTGTGCTTTATAGAGAAAAAGCTAAGGTTTTTTAATTTTTGTTTTTGGCTTCCAAGAATTCATTTCATATACTGGGAGGGAAATCACTCTATTGCAATCTTTTAGCCTGAAGGACCTGAATTCAGTCCCTCTAATTCAGCAGCCAAGACTATCTAGTACCTTGTCTTACAATGGCAAAATCAGGACTTTGCCGAAACAGGAGGAACAGGGTCAGGATCCCAGACAGCAGCCATGAGGACTGGGCCAGCTCACTGCCAGCACAAACTGGGAAAAGAAGCCCTACAAGAGGCACCAGGGGGTCAGTCAGGGCTTCCCAGCCTTACCACCACTTACATTTGGAGCTGGATAAGACTGTCACAGGGCTGTCTTGTGCAGTATAGGTTTAACATCCCTGACCTCTACTCACTGGATACCAGTGGAATCCCCATACCCCACTCCTCAGTTATGCCAGCCAAAACGTCCTTCAGACATTGTGAGATGTTCCCTAGGAGGCAAAATTGCCTTCAGTGTGAATCAATGGTCTAGCTCAAGAAAATTGAAAAGGTCAGGTTCAATGAACTGCCACGTGGCACCTTACTAATCCAACTCTTTGAGGACCTGGGGATAGTTTGCCATCATATGGATGGTTTCCATATGATGGTTGGGTTGCTCCTGTAGGGTCAAAACTGTCACAGGGGAGGAATGTTGTCAGATTGAAAGGGGCCAGCTTCATAGTCCCTCAATCACTGTGGCTGTCTGAAGGGCCTTGAAATGAGGAACAAGCCCTGAAGCAGTGGCTGAGGACATCAGTTCCTTCAAACCAGCTCAGTTCAGTCCCAAACTCAGGGACTCCAGCCAGAACTGTAGCAAGCCAAGGGAATCCTACTCACTACATCAAATTCTGAGAAATTAGTTTCTTTACTAAATCAACAAATGGAAGGAGAGGAAAATCTACAACCAATAGAGGCGTATGTATTTGTAAGTTGTTCTCTATGCTTAAAATCGAGACAGGTTCATTCTAGCCAAACTCACCAGACAGGCTGGCCTTCTCCATTCAGGTTCCAGCTGGCAGAAAACAGAGACAGAGACAGAGACAGACAGACAGACACAGACACAGACACACACACACACACATATATACACACACACACATATATATGCACACACCTCACTCAAGTTTCTATAGTCTAGGTCACTGTTTTGGTATCTCTCCCTTCCTTAAATAAGAGAGCGTCTTTATATCCCTTTTCTTCTTTATCTCTACCTCTTAGATAATGAAAGTCTTTAGACTTACTTGGTCTTAAAATTCTACCCAGACCCTGATTGATACTCTGACTGACAGGCACATATTCAAAAGAGCGATGTCATCAGGCCACGGTGACAGCTACAAGCAGAGAGTCAGCGAGGAAGTGACCCAGAGATTGCTTAATGTCAACTCATCACATCCCAATGTGCAAAAATGACAAAAATCTGAATTTTTAAAGTTTAATCTGGTGAAATAAGTCAACTATATTTATGGAGTACTGCTTACATAATCACTTCAGAAAAGCACACTTGACAGTGGCTCACAGGGGAAAAATAACAGCTGCCACACCTCCTTGCAACCCGGTGGGTAGCTGCTATGACCCATCTGGCTCTTCACCATCACTCCTGCAGGACTCAGGTTTCCCACAAGCCAAAGCAAGGGGCTCGTCCCTAAAGCATCAGAACTGTCGCAAGATTTGCCCAGTATGCAGGTGGAAATTTAAACTAGTGGGTAGAATTTCCTCAATCTAAAGATTTCCTCTCTCACTTTTCCTTAAACCTTTGATGCTACAAATGGCGTCAGCTTCTAGTGACAGAGTTCAAACAATGAGTCTAAGGAAAAAGCAAGAATCAACCATGCTCCCTCACTGGTTTCTGTCCCAGAATACGAGTGAGCTCATGGTTGGGTTGGGAGATAAAACACCACACTCAAACTAGCTAGCCAGCCTAACTGATTCTGAATTCATATGCTAGAATGAACTATCAATGTCTCATGATCTTCAACCAAGAATGCTAAGCTTTTCAGGGGCTCTGCCGTTCAAACAGATTTGAAAAACCACTTAGAGGAAAAGTGGTGTCATCATAACTGGCACTGGCTCTGAAAGCCTACTAGCCCTCCTTTGAACCCTGGAACCACATTTTACACATTACTGTGTGAGGCTGGACAATTCCTCAATCCCTCTGTGCCTTAGTTCCCTTATCTGTTTCCTGGGAATGGCAATAATCTCCACAGGATAAGTATTGCATATGTTACTCTATATACACAGAAACAAAGCTTACAGTGGTGCCTAGCACACAAGAGTTACACAAATGTTCACTGGTATCATGGCTGTTATCACAGCCTCCCCATTTTGTGATAAGGAAAATGCCTATGAAAATCAAGTAAACTGATAGGTGAGGACACTTTCAAGGTTGCCCACAAGGGGGCAATGGATCTACACTATAGCTACTGATTTGTGGTTCAAATCTGTGGCTGCCCAAAATCTCTTTAAGAGAAGCCACGGAGTAAGGGGCCACAGTACCCGGATCATGACCATGTGGGACTCCAGCAAGATCTCAGGAAAACTTGGCTGCAGCACATCCAGACTGATGTTTGGCACTAGGGGAAAGACAAAACAAAAACAAGAGAAGGCTTTGTCACACTTTATCTCTTCAGAGTCTGTCCACTCCCACTACAGTCCAAGTGCAGCCTTCCTGACAAGGCGATGAGTAGATGACAGTGTTGGGGATCACTTACTCGGCTTACAGTGAGCACTGAGAAATACAACAGACACAGATAACAGGCCTCCCCATGGTGCTCTATCCAGGCACCATCACTCTGCACTGTGGCACTGGCTCAGATGCTGCCCTCCTGTTGGGCACAAGATGCATGAAGACAAGGACTACCACATATCCACAAGACCCCCATGGTTCTTGGTGGACTCAGTAAAGAGTTAGTTAATTAGTTGGTTTGGCTAGATTAGGTAGCAAGAATGAAATGGAAAGCACAGAGAGGACGAGAAATCAAGCACAAATGAATGAATCCAAAGGCTTAGCGAGTTGAGTTGACACTGAAGTGGAAATATCAAATGCAGCCGGGGAGCGGAGGTGTAGGCTGAGATCAGGGCTGTGGCTGGCCTTTGGTACAGGGAATGCCTGGATGTGGGGGAGGAGGAGTCAGCACAGGCATAGCAGGCAGGGACTAGATTGCACCAGGCCTGGGGGGCCTGGAGGTGTCCACGGTGCAGGGACAGGAGAGCTCAGAGGGAGACAAGACAGAGGCAGATGATACAAATGGACTTACAGGAGATCACTGGTCACTAGAGAGGAACTGATGAAGGAAATGGATGAGAAGAAAAAGGAGCTATCAGAGTAGGTACCAACTCTTAACAGGTGTAAAAAAGGAAGAAAGGGTAATAAGATGAAATGACAGAGAATCTGTAAGGGTTTATTTTTCTAAGGGAAGAGTTTTTTATAAATGTTTTGCTTCAGAGCCAGCCCTCACTCACATTTGGGATTGATATGGTCCTCCACATTCCAGATGGAGTTGAGGGTTTGTTTCAGGTATGGAGTACAAGTAACTTCCAGCTGCTCCCAGCCCCTGTGAGAATAAGTCACAAATGTCTCTCAGAAGACCTGCATCCCCCCATACAAACACTGCAAGAATGGCACTGTCTACTGCTCTTCCATCTGTGGAACTCCTGTCTTTTTAAGTGAGTGGCCATTACTGTTTCAACCCCAGCCTTTCATATTCCACAGCTATCCTAGGAGTAGTCTAACCTATACTATTCCCATTTTACAAGCAGACAAAGCCCAAGAGAGTAATTACCACAAGGCAGTAGTAAAAATGCACAACTATCAGAACATATAGTGCTGGGAATTTAGCTCAGTGGTGCCACCACCTGCCTTGCACGCGCAAGGTCCCTAGTTCAATCCCTGGTACAAAAAAAAAAAAAAAAAAAGAACATATAAAATTCCAAAATGCCCCTGGAGTTCTGTGCTCCATAATGTACCTGATATCTTCTCTTCTTTTTACCAAACACGAGGTGCACTGACTACTTGAAATCAGAAGCTTCTGGGATATCTCTTTCTTTCTTTTTTTTTTGATACCGGGAATCCAACTTGGGACCTTGTGCTTGTGAGGAAGGCAACAGAACCACTGAGCTAAATCCCCGGCCCCTAGAATATCTCTTGTAGCATGAAAGGAAAGCGCAGGCTCCATGAGGTCATTAGAACTCCACAGACTTACCACTTGGGTAGAACCTTTCCTGAGGAACCCAGGACACAACCTGTGACCAGATGGATGAGGCGAATTCGACTTCTTAGCACTTTGATTCGGTTCCCAAATTTTCTGTTTACAACCTCAATCCGCCAGAAATCATTTGAGTCCCCTGTCCCATTCTGCCACATAAACCAAGAAAAGAACACACAGTGAGATGATGTTAGAGAAAAGGTGTCAAAAGGGAAATGGTTACCCCTTCAGATGCTACCATTACAAAGGTCAAACACCAAATTAACCTGGTGACTGAGTGGGAAAGGGAACAAGAAGGCCATAGAAACGCCCCAAGTGACACAATGCCCTGGCACTCCCCATCTGCAACCAAATAAGGTAGTATAATTTAAAGCAGTCCAATTTTTTGCTTCACATGACTAGAGTTTGAGTTATTAGTGATGTCTTGCCCCTTAACCAAACTTGAGACATTACCCTGAGCCAAGAGAAGCAGATCTGGGCCATTTGCATTCATCATCTTGGCCGTCTGGGCACTCATTCATCTAAGCCAAAAAGGCCTGGCCACTGAACCTTGGAAATGAAGACAGTTGTATCTAATTCTCTGCAAGAGCTGCCCAGGACAATAGATGTTCAGAGTCTTGGCTGTGGTTCAATTTGGGATGGGCAAGTGGAAGGAGGGGTGGGAAACTCACCTTAAGGAACCCAGTTTCTCCTGAAGCACCAATGGCCTTGGAAGGGAATTAGTTTTCCACTAGTTGCTTCTGTCTTTATTCCCAAACCATGAGTACTCACAGAACTTTTTATTTTTCAATTTTTTTGGTAGAGGGGTACTGGAAATGGAACCCAGGGCCTTTGCTTTGGGCTATATCCCTGGCTGTTGTATTTAAGACAAGATCTGTATAAGTTGCCCAGGGTAGGCTCAAACTTGTGATCCTCCTGCCTCAGCCTCCCAAAGTACTATGATTACAGGCATGCACCACCCAAGGTTTTACTCTATTAAGTGCATTTTTCTGAGATAGTAAAAAACAAAAGCTAGGGCCGGGGATTTAGCTCAGTGGTTTCCCTGCCTGCCTCACAAGTGCAAGGACCCGAGTTCGATCCCTGGTACAAAAAAAAAAGCTATGAGGACAACAGTCCATTACAGAACAGGAAAGAGATCCTTAAAAATGAAGCCAATGAAGATACAGGATTCAGCAAAAGATAAACTCACTTGGGGCCATACTGTAGGTCTTTAGCTTCTGTGTCCAGCGTGATTTTAAGAAACCCAAACAGGGGCTGGGGATTAGCTCAGTGGTTTCACCGCCTGCTGCGCAAGGGCAAGGACCCGAGTTCCATCCCCGGTACCAAAAAAAAAAAAAAAGAAAAGAAAAAGAAAAGGTACACCTGGAAAAATATATTTTCCTGGGGATTAGCTCAGTGGTTTCATCGCGTGGCGTGCAAGCGCAAGGACCCGAGTTCGATCTCCGGTACCAAAAAAAAAAAAAGAAACCCAAACATCATTCATATTTGGCAGTTACTAGGTGTTGTAATATATAAATGACATGGTTGTTATCTGAGGAGAGAAATGGAGACAAACAGACTTCATAGGCTGCTTTTTTCATAGCAAACTTAGCCAAAAAATTCTCCAATGTTAAGGCCGTGCAGAGCCCCTAATCCCCGAGAACATTCCAGAATTCTGGGGAGGTCACATCGTGACACTCGGCCCTGAGTCAAGCCCCACAGCTCTTACAGCCTGCCCATGCCAGGCATTCACTTACTGTGCCATAGCCGGTGACCTGATAGTGTTTTCGGGTCAGGGGAGCCTCATGGTAGTGACTGTGCAAGTTCCGAGAAGTCCTAGAAGTTGGAAGAGAGAAGCGCTGTTATCTGCAGAAAAGATATGTTCAATGTATCTCCTTTTATCAAGAATATGCAGAATCATCTGTTAGGGTCAAAACTGTTGAATCAAAACTATTAATTCCAACACATAAGGAACTTGTTGCCTATTCACTCACAAGAAATATCTACAGAACTGGAGAAGAGAGAAGTCTTGGCTCAAGAAGGACCAATGGTGGGAGCACCAGTCTACATGCCAGGATAGGGGGCAACCTCAGGGGTCTTGGGAAGGGTGTTACTTTCATACATTTGTTGACTTCGAAACACTTACCTTGCCTGACTTAGGAAGCAGGTCCAGGGAGAACAGAATTAACACCAGTAATCTACGCATGCCTATGGTACATAAACTTCCCCACCCCACTTTACTCTTTCTACTCCCATCACCATTTTTTTAAAGTGAGGGGCCCAGGGATTTAGCTCAGGGGTTCCATTGCCTGCCTCGTAAGTGCAAGGTCCTGAGTTCGATCCCCAGTACCAAATAAATAAATA